AATCAGTTATTCTACAATTTTGATTATTATTTGTTTAATGGTACATATATATTTGAGATGTAAATGCCTGGCATGTGTAAAGTCAATTGATGTTAGTTCAATTTAGTAAGACAATTCATATCTAAAGCAGCGCTTTCACTGTATGACTTAGTTACTGTACTGTATTAGGTATAATGTCGAGTATTTTTTTATTTCATTATCACAGTGTTTTCCTTTCTATTTTTTTCCTAGTTGCAGTTATTGTGTTTTTTAATACTGATATAATATATATATACTTGTATGTGGTAGTATAAATTTTAGTAAATATCAAATTCATTAGGTTTTAAATTTGTTGTGTCCAAATTATCACCCATATTGTTCTTATGGCTAAAGATGCAAAAGACTTGAGTCGTCCTAGGCTGCATCGAGTAGCCTCCACCAGCCAGCCCGATCAATTGCTTGATGTCGCCAGTTTGTAGTACCGAGTGCTCCAAAATCGTTGGTCGCCAAATTTAGATGTCACAATGTTCTCGTTTACAGTGTCCTTGTCCCGTCCATCGGATTTCTTAGATTTTCACCATTTTAAATTTTTCTTATTCTTCCATATCTATTTTTTTCTCTTTTTATATTGCTATTAATTTATATGCAATTAGTAAAACACAGCTAATTGTTTAATATAATTTCCTAAATATTAAACTTTGGACTATGTCCCATGCTCTGCTATTGCTTTCGTTTCAATTTTCTGACAAAATTTAATTATAGATTACGATATTATATTAATATTTTTATAAATCTAATGTATTTTCTTATGTTGTGTTTCAATGCAGTACACATAAAAAGCATGAGAGTAAGTCCACTTTGTGATGACGACGTTTTTATTGTCTGACTTAATTACGTTAAATGATGTCGATAATTTTTAAAATTATCTGTTTCTTTTCTCATTTCAAATTGACAAGAGTCCAATAAATACATTTTCTTATGTATATATTTTATTGTGCAAATTCCCCTTGCATATTGTGTCATTTATTAATAACGATAGAAGATTTCAGAACTTCTTAGGAAGTGAAAGAAAATGTGGTCGTATTTGAATTAATGAAATCCATTATTTTAAACTAATATTCAATATTTTTGATGAAATTATCACTAAAAATTACTTCAAAATTTGTCTCAGCATTGTCTCAGATTTTTTATCCCTTGTCGTAATATCTAATTTCAGGTTTTCTGCAGAAGTGACCATGTCAAAGTATCTGAGGCAGTTATGTACAACATTCTCTGTAATTATTTTGAGTTAATTTGTGATTAGTAATTGAAAGCAAAAATAGGAGCGGAAGTTAATTATATAGCAAGTGTCCTAGCCTTCAGCTGAGCTTACGCGAAAATTTCTAAACATTTCTTCCTCCATGCGCTCATGTAATTTGAGATTGAAAAGCATTTTGAAAAAGATTGTTGAAGTGTAAAAAACAAAAATTAATTCAATTTGTCTTTGAAGTTGTTTTCTAACTGAAATTAAGAAAATTTCGGAAAATAGTTAAGTTCTGCCTAAGCATCTAATGGAGAAATACTTTTAAAACAATTTACCTTAGATGCTTGGAAACAAGCCGAGTAAACGACTACACGATTGGAAAATAATTCCTAAGAGAGTAAATGGAAATGGAAGTAAATCAATTATTTTAATTTGTTTTTAAAATTGTAATAAAAGAAGCTCAGATTTTAGAATAAAACTAAAAAATAAACTCCTTGTAAATTTAGATTGCAGTCATTTTTAGCCACTAATGGGTATGGGAATACTGCAAGTATTAGGTTTAAATTAAGCTACATCCAAAACTTCGCTGGCAATAAAAATGTAATTAATAATTTATTTATCAAATAAACTTAGTCTGACATTTGCTGCCATTAACGGTTTTTGGCATCCAAAATAGTTAAACCATTTGACAGTATCTTGGACCATTAAACCAAAATACACGCGGTCAGCATGACGAGAATTTTAGTGCCTGAATTGCAATAAGGGAAACGAGTAAATAGGCAAACTTAAGAGTATCTTAATGGGCAATCAATATGTTTTCTGTCTTTCCATTTATATTTTATTGTTTCATTAAAAATCTAGTAAATCCTTATTAACTAAGAAAACCAATTAAATTTAATAAAAATTGAGACTTCCTCCACTTCACTTAATATCCATGTATGGCTGGACGCAGAATAATACGAATGTCAACAGGTTATTAGTAGAAACAAAAACATTTTATGGATTGCCCAATGGTCAACATGTTGACATGAATTACTTTTAGATACGAGTTTGTACAACGAATTGCTTTCACTATTTTTATTGTTTCCTTTGTCTCTTTCCCACCGTCCCCACTGTCTGCCTGTAAATCAGTCTAGGGAAGCATGTAAGAATGTATATACTATCAATATATTTTGTTCTTTATTGGCACAAGTACTCGTAAAATGAGAAAAAACTACAGGGTCACCTAATGGAAGTTTCACTTTTCACAACGCTTTATTTTTTTTTTTTTAAACGGAATTATATTTATTCAAGCATATGGATTGGTTTTTGCAAAAGAAAACCACTTCATCAATTACGATAAAAATTTTTAAAGACTTAATCAATATCAATGAATATAATTTATTCGACATGGACGTTTTTGACACAAACAATGGCTCTAAGTCTGATCGAACACCGACATTCACAAAATACAAATATGAACCGCCAAAATCTTCATCCATTCACAAACAATTCCTTTTTTAAACAAATTAACGTTCTAAAATTTTATTAGTTCAGAACTTTACCAAAACATGTCTCATAGCCAATATCAAGAAGTCGAGCCTGTTAAAATCTGCAAACCGTGTCAGCATATACGATCAAATAGAAGAATGGAACATTGCCCGCCGTTACTAATGATGAGAGCTTTCTTAGTGTCATGGAGCAAAATTCTGTTGTATAGGCAACTTCTTCTCAACAAAATTTTTTATTGCTCATGAGTGTAGCATATATTCCATGAAGTTTATGATTTAGAATAGGATTTGGAATAAAATTGACATTGCAGTCCAAAAACAAAACTGAAATGGAACTACTTACCGATGACCGTCCCAACTATCAAAAATTTTTATGTTTGATATTTTGTAGCCGTTCGTATGTCTGTATTCTCATACTATATGTCTTTTCTATAAAACATATTTAATAATTTTTTTTTAAGATTAGCTCAATTGAGAAATTTTTACAGCACAGAACAAAAAAAAGGACGATCTGTGACGAACCCCCCACACATGCTCCAGCGCCATCTTGTGTGAAAAACAATCTTTTTTAATATAACAATTAATTTAATTGGAAAGAAAGAAAGCAGTAGATATATATAATAATAGTTAATAAATCGTAACGCAATATCTAAATTCGCTTATAATAAAAATATTATTCGGTATTATTCTTATTATTCTGCAAAATAATCACAGTTCTATTCAATATTTCATTTTTTTACTAACATAATAGATTCTTTGCTAGTTCCAGTGAAATCAATAAAGCTAGTTACAATTAAGATGAACCACCCTGTTATGAAGATGATAACAATAAGTTTTATACATTATTAGCACAAGTAAAATGATAAAGAAAATACACTTGAAGAAATTTTTCTCAGTTATTTATGACTTATGTTAACTAAATATTACTTACTAAAATATAATGTTTTTTTAATTATTTGTTTAGATACATAAAACTAGATGTTTATAAGTAAAATGATAATATGTTATAATGGTAAGCAATAAGATCCTGAAATATAATGATGTAGCCATAATTTGAACTATAGCTATAGAGTTTTATGAACAAATAAACCTAAGTTACTGCATAAAAATTAATATTACATAATTTAAATAAAATAATTAAATAAAATTTGAATCACGTTTTGAATATAATTTAAAAAAATGTTTCAAGCATATTTCAAATATGTTCAATACTAATGGTATATTTACTTGCCATAGATTTTGTTATTTTAAAATCACTCAAATGCAAAACTTATGTACAAAAATGAAACGACGAACTTGCAACAACAACGAGTTTTTGGAGAAACAAATACATTGTAGTTTATTAGTTAGTAAGACACAAAAATAATATACAAGAAATTTGACTACATTCCGTTCTCAGTAAGTTTTCCGCTTTCAAGTTTGTAGACTTCCCTGTCCCTGTCAATCCTTTTTTTTTTGTTTCCAGAAACATATATTTACATAAAAATATGTGTAGTGCATTTAATTAAACTTAATTTTGCTAATTAAGTTAAGAAGAATAACATCAATTTCCGTATGTAATATACATAAAAACTCTCACTTGACCTAAACCGAAAAGTGTATGTGTATGAAAAACACTCAAGGATTCACGATGACAATTAAGAAATTCCCATCGAAATCGCCTAGAAAAATAACAAAGGCCAACGTCTTTGGCAACCGCATGGGAAACATATCCAAACACATTTCACATCATTGCTGCAATTCCCCTTGTGAACACCCACTCGACGCAGACAAGGGAACGGCGTAGTCGTTATGTCGTACGTACGCCACGCCAACACGCCAACACACAAACAATTCAAGCTCATTTATATTAATTATGCTCGCTTTGTTTAAGAAAAATATAAACAAAACAAAAGAAGTTAAGCATAATAAAGAAAACGTATGCCAAAAGAGTAAATGAACAGCATAAGGCAAAATGAGTATAAGTATGAGTAAAAAAAGCTACAATTCCATAGATAACTTGGCACATATGCAGCAATAGCAGCAAATTTACACGTTACTCAACACTGTATTGAAATAGGCAAAGTACGATGCTACTGTAGCGTACACTTTAAAGCTCATGGATTAAAACATTGCTAAAAGCAAGCATAGCAAAACACACACACACGTACACACATACACACATAGACTAATTTAGCAATGGAAAGACGGACAGGAATTAAGTTAATTACCTTCATAAATATGTTGTTGTTATTATTATCAATTTTTTTTACATATTTGCTTTTTTTTGCTTTTTTTTCTACTTCCAGAATTTCGTTTTTTGTGCGGCCTAAAACAAGAACAACGGCAAAGCAGTAGCACAGCAAAATCAATTAACGAAACCGTAAGACAGCAACGCTAACCACAAGTATTTTAACAGCATTCACTGTAACAGCAACAACAACAACACCGACAACACCAACAACAGCTACTTACTATACAAAAACAATAATAAAAATATAAGGCTAATAAATAGAATAGCAAAAATAGATTCAAATGAAGCCTGACACCGTCATAAGCGTTTGCTTTGCTCTGGCAACGATCTGTGCTTGCAACAGTTGGTTAGTGAGCGCCTTTGTTGCCTCGTCACCGTCGGCTCAGTCAGTAGGAACGCTGTCGCAGTCCACTGTTGGGAAAAATGTTGCCGCTGAACTAATGGCGGCATATCCGGCCGCAACATATATGAACGCAGCCACCGGAAGTGTCTCGTTTCAACCGCACGATTCTGGGGAGCTTAATGAGCGTGCAGTATATGATCCTGGCGATGGTAAGTAGCAAAAACAAGTCAACAAACAAATAATAACCAAGGCCAAAAAACGCGCTAAACGCGAAAACATTGTAGGCTAAAGGACTTCATCCGCATATAGGCAGTAGCGGGCAATACCTTTGTCTTTCGTTCCACATGCACACGAACGAGGGTAGTTTTAAAGTCTTGAGGTTTGCTTTGAAGTCGAGTAAATCTACTTTTGGTTGTATTTCTACTGCCTCATAGTTGCAGGCATTACAATCCACCAGCTTAGGAGGCTGGTGTATTATGGGATGTTGAGAAAGATTCTAACGCATTTTGCTGGTGTCAGTTTGAAGTCATTAATTTTTAACGCCTTTGACATTTATTAAAAGTTGCTGTTATTTGCGTAGAAAATATTTAATATTACTTAGCAAATGAGAAAAGGAAACTGAATAGAAACACAACTCCATTTTTAAAGTTTGTGGTAAATATGTGTTAAGCATACAAATTCCGCTCATTACTCACAATAAGTAAATATTTTAATTTGTCCTCCGTTTTTGTATCCTGAAATGCACACTACACCCAGACAGAATACTTTATCATTATTTAAAAAAAGGATTTCAAAATTAATTTTTGTTTGATTACGCAAAAGAATATCCATGACCTGAAACATGCAAAGAAGGGATGAATTTGCCGTTTGGAGTTATCAAGACAAAAATTTTACCAACAAAAAGTTTTAAACATCTTTAAAATTGGTTCATTTAAAAAAAACATTTCTGTTTTTTGAGTTTAAACAAGTATAAACATAAGACGTCCAAACCCAATGCTCTTTTAAAACTATTATATCCTCTGAAAACAAGAGTTGCTCAAAAATTTTACATCCAATGTAGAAAGAAATGTTTTTAATTCTTTTGTTACTATTTATCCCCATCCTCCTATTAATTCAACTATTTTTTTCCAACGACGTTCCAACCTACTAAGCCCCTCTAAATAATGCTTGACACAATCAAGATTCTCAAGATTAGATTAGACAACAATATTAATCTCTAAATAAAATTTTCAAACATTTGAAACCAAACTATAGTCATAAATGCCCAAACCAACTCATGTTATAAATTTCAGTGTAAAGAACAGTTCTGATAGAGCTTTTTCTTGAAATATCCATTCTTCTCGTCGGTTTTTTCACGTTTGTCTATATTCTATTTTTTCAGGAACCAGATCTGAGAAACATTGTAGCATTTGCATGAAATGGTCAAGTTCTCTTTGTTGGGTTAATAGCAAAAGTACTATAAACTTTAATTATAATTAATTTATTTGTTAATATAATATATAATACTTAAAATATATATATAATATGTAATACCTATATATAATAGTTAAAATATATTACGAATGAAAACAACATCCAAGTCATAGCTACTTGAACTTTCAGACCAAAGACGAAACCAAAAAAAGTGTTTTAAAGTTTTCTATATTCTAAACTCTCTGCACTTTCTGCATTTATCACAATTGATGATTCCTATCTTTTACGCATCTACCACAATAGACTTTGGTCGGCCAATACACATATGTAATCTTCTGCAATCTCAAGTTGAGAATCAAGTTCAGAACTATATTAAACATCTGAAAATATCTTATCTTGTCATTATAATAATTTATATTAACCTAAAACAGATTATATTTAGATTATATTTAATACTAAATTCAATAATATGTTTCTAATGGAATTTGTTGACGCTATCTTTATAACATATTTCTCATAAAATTGTATGTTATATATATTACTTCATATTGATATTGATTCAATATAATGTATACCTCCCATAAAATTTGTATGTCATATGTATTAACATATATTACTATTCTTTTTTCGATATTTATGCCTTATTTATTAATCTACGTGGTGTCTTGAATTAGTATTTATTGGAATGGTTTAGAAGTAAACTTATTGTCGTATCTAGAGAGATTTGAGCTCGTAGTTGATAGAAGTATGGACACAGGTCCAACAAATGTTCGAAAGATATGGTTTGGTAGCCAAATTTGCATGCACTGATAAGAGCTTATTTGCATGGCGTTCAGCTCAAATCATCGGACAATTATTGTATTGATTCGTTACACATTATCTTTTACCCCATTTATTGTTTATTTTCTAGTTCGAGTAGTGTCTTTTTAAGTTCCTTTTCTGAAGTTCCAAAAATCATCTGTGGTGCGTAAGAATTAAATACAAACCAAATTTTTCAATTTTTCATAAAAAATAAACGATAAACGATAAAAGCACTCCTGCAACTCAAATAAGTTATTATACCAACTAATTTAAGAAAAATAAAACGATGATATATTATTATTACTAATTTCTTGTGCTAATTTATATACAATATGTATATACATTGATACAAAAACCGATGATTTAAGCTAATATAAAGTATCAAGTATTTGATGTTTCTTAGTATTTCTTTCATAAAAATAATGAAAAACAAAAATTTGCTGGAAAATCAGAATCCATAGTAAAATATTGAACTTAATATTTTTCTTTGTTAAAGAAAAACATAATCTGTTTTGTGTCTCTTATTAAGTAACTTGAACTTTATACAAATTTGGTTATTAAAAGAGACTCATAAGCAAATTGACAGATTCTAATGTGTTTGTTGAAATGCTTTAACTAGAAGAAAAGCTGTTGCCGAGCACTCCAATCAGTGTGCATAATCTGCAACCATAGAAATGTCCTTCAATTATAATTGTGCCATAATAATTTCATCTTCTTTCTACTACTTTTTCGTTGTAATATTTTAACCTTTTGGAAAAGCCAGAGCCATTTACTCACCTGGTAACTGCTGGCATATTCAACGAATATCCTTTTATTGTTGCCACCAAATGTTGATGTCCTGCTCATAACTGCGCACAATTTCACACACAATTTGTCAGATAATTTCGGTTTACAAATGTGTTAAAGTGTTAAGCCAGAAGCCAGGACACGGCAGTACACAGCAGTACACAGCAGTACACAGCAGTACACAGCAGTACATAGCAGTGCATAACAGTAGAGAAAACCTATTAAACATCAATCAATGTATTGTCAGGCTCGTTGTCCTGGCTTCATTTATATTCAACAATATTACAGAGGCATTTTAAACGATATTAAGCAGTTTGGCTGGAATTTTCTAAATTTATGACTAAACATAGTGTAAATTATAACTACGAATAAGTGCATGAACGAAATGGGTTCACATAATTCATGGAAACCAATAGGACGCATTTTATAACTCTAATTATGATTTGCAATTTTGACGTTGCATTAACGTAAAGCCCTTGATGATGGCCCACTTGGAATCGCCCACTTATGAATTGACTTTTATTAAACATTTATCAAAACAAAATATTATCTCGCCATTTGCACGCGACCAGAAATTCAACCAAAGGATGCATTGCTATCCTCTGATTTCACACCCAATCCAGTTTAATTATGAATATTGTATTCTCTATCAATAAATATGTATAAGTAATGAGCATGCTCATCATACAAATATATATCATTTTAAAGAAATAATATTATTAGAATCGTTTTCGAAACGATTTCCGGAAACCAATTGCTACAGATGAGCAATTTGTATGACCTACAGAAAGTGATAAAGTATTTAAGGTATGAAAAATTTTAAATGCAATAGAAATTAAGAATTAAAATTCAAATTCAAATTTTAAAATTGACTTAAAATTATAATGACGTCAACCAAAAAAATAATTTAATTATACGAGTTCAGCTCTACTGCAGTAGTCCTCCTACACTGAAACTTTAACTTGAATTTTAAATGCGTCCACTGTTGTCCTGGTAATAAAAGATATCCTCAGGAATAGGAAAAATGAATGAATATAAATATACATGTCAATATGTACAATTTGTTGTTTTGTGAGATCAACCTCCACAATTAAACCGTTGCTGAGCCATAATAGAGGAAACGACAACATTTTTGCTCCACATTTTTGTTATGCCTATTCATGGTTTATAAGTTAACAACAAAGTACATCTTAAATGCATTCTTAGGATTGTATTTTAAATAAAAAAATATATTTGAAAATTATCAAATATAATTTAAAATAATAATTATCATTATTAAAATTAATATCTTTTATCTTTTCGATTAAAGTTAGTCGAAATTGAACTTAATTGACATTGTATGTCATCCTTGATTATTGGAAGATAATATCTTCAAAACATTGATGCCTGTTCTGTCTAAAATAAATTAACAAAACTAAACAACTTTTTTTTATTTATTGGTGTTGCTTGAGGGAAATGCGGTTTTAAAATGACAGTTAGTTACTTATTATGAAAAACAGAAGCATATCTGCTGACCATCCACCGCAACCAAACTGCCAACACATCCCTTAGTTTTATTTACTATTCGTAGTACATTTCATTATAAATTATTAAATCTGGCTTATGAGATTCTTGAATTATTTGTTAAAACTTTCCCATTGACAGAGATACGCTATATATTTGGACAATAAGGTAGTTTTATAACTACTTTACAACAATATTGGACCACTAAATCTGAATTGGTCCAAATCAGCAAGAGTCTCATATCTAGGTTAGGTTAGGTAAGGTTAAAAAGGCGCATGCTGACAGTTATTTATACTTCCACTAGGAGCCATATATTGCCCATTCTGATGCCCTCAAAGGAGTTGTTAAATTTTGTTATCTTCGTGTTATCCTATTGTTAAACCATTTGGTTTTCCAGAAGCAGTTAAGGAGATCCGATTAATTTGCTTTCGTTATCTCTGCCAGACCAGTGAGAAAGCGATCCCCGAGATAGTAAAGTCGCCTTGTCTGCAGTCTTGAACAGAGCCACGGGAAGTGGTTGATTGATTTTACCTATTCTTCATCTTGGCAACTCCTGCATAATCCACTTTGTCTCATATCTGAATTGGCTCATAAAACCTGTCTGGTAGAAAAAAGTTTAACTCTACTTATCAAACATTTTCAATACATAGCGACACAGTACAGCGAATATAAGCTATTTGTGTAGGCTGAAGGAAGTTGTGAAAACCCTAACCTATCCACATATTTCCTACGAGTTCTTCACAAAAATGGTGACAAGTTTCTTAGTCTGAAAAGATATTAACTTCGATTAATCACTGATTTCCTAACTGAAAATATTACTGTTAAATGCCACTATTTAAAGATGGCTTTAACCATCAGATATTATTTGTTAACAGCTACCATTCTCCGTCTTAGAATAATAATTTGCTTACGTATAAAATAATATTGCAAGTTCTTTAATATGGATTTCATTGAACAGAATAAAGTTTGAGATCTCTAAGTATGAGATATAGTTTGATTTAATGGGGTTAGTGCTATAGATCTTTTAGATCGCGGTCTATCATTGTCATTCTAATAATAGTGACTTACTTAATTATATAAATAAACAAATACTAACTTTAAAATAATTTGAAGAAGAATTAGTATAAAGATATTTAATCACGTTGGTACCATTAACAAAAATAAATGGAGATTACTAACTCTTAATATATGAATCCTTTATAAGTGGACAGAGACGTTACTAACAATTCTATCCGATTAAAGATAGAATATATGTTACTTTGTATAAGAAATGAGAACCAGCTAAATTGAATGCTTGTACCTAGCTTTTTGTTCATGGGAGCTTTCACAGTACAATTTTTAAATAGAAATTGTATGTAACTTAAAATTTAAATTGAGGTCCTCAAACCAGAACAAAGAACTCAAATAAATAAATAAATTCAAAAAAAAATTAATAAATAAATGTTGTACTTAAAAATCTACAAAAGCACTTTAAACGTATCTCAGCTATCAAAACACAAAACAACAACTTCTGACAAATATTAAAAAATAATTGAATGGGAAAACCACTTAACTGTTTCATCCTCTTTGACTTTTACAATTGGTTTTGTGGTTGAAGTGTCCTTAATATTTGCCGCAAATTTTTATATAAACTTAGATACTCAAAAGCAAATATGAAATGCCTACACAAAATATTTAACAAGCGCTTAACACCAATCATACTCGCACTGGTTTTAGATATCCTGCCTCTTAACCTAAGTCCGCATAAACAGGACAAAGAAAATATTACCGAACTTTTGCTATGCCAAATGGAATGTTCTTGCTCTTTTCGTTTGTGTCTCTTTTGGTCGTACCGGTCTAGATTTCTCTGGCTGCTGCTATTACCAACGGCTTTGTAACCATTTATCCTGCTGTTCGTCCTGCTGGTATCGCTGTGGTCGTTTCATGCTGTGATGGCTGCCTCAATGAAGTGGAAAAATCAACAAGTTTTCAACAATGAAAAGATGCTTTTATAGCTTAAATATGTTGCGTATGTTTCCATTGAATTGTCACTGTCGTGTATCTTTCTACTTCTTTGTTATCTGCCTTCTCTAGCCCAAACACAGCGTCTCTTCTGGTGATAGGTTGTCTGTACAATGTACAGTGCACACTGTTATCCACCCAAAGTAAATTTTGCGTCATCGGTTACTTGGCAATAATTCAGCTTAGTTTCATTGCCTGATTGCAACATTTTATGATTTCAAGCATCTCTCATCTGCTCGTAGTGTTCTTCATTTTTAGTTAATATCCTTTCGTTTTTTGAGACCATCATTTAAAATTACATTAAAAAATTTTACGCGTGACTTCTTCAATGACTTTTAATGTATTTTGAATTTATTATCTTCATTGAAATTAATCATAATTTGATTGGAAAAAATTCCACTGATATTTGTATATTTAGATGCACCCAAATGCGCGGGTATATTTAATAAAATTTTTTCATCCAGCAAAAGTTACTTCAAGTAAAGTTACGTTTAAACGACCCCGCGTGGATCGTTTTAAAGTCAGTTGCGTTACGCTAGGTGTCGTATTTAGATGTCCTTCTCCTAACACAACAATCGTAACCTCAAGGGATTATCTCGTACTGTTTAAGATAATATTTCAGTCTGAAATAATCATTCAATTTGAAATTTTTTCAAATCGGGAACTATATACAAAAAATATACTTTAAGCGATTTATGTACTTAAGTTATTCGAAAAAGTTCAAGAATTTAAATTATTATTTTTAGTTATTTTCAGACTTAAAATAAAATAAATCATAAATCACAAGAAAGACCGTTAGCCATATTTGAATTTATTAAATTTTATTTAATACAAGGATATATCCAACTATCCGCCCTCTTGTAATTATCAACCGTCAATTGAGATGTTAAAGTCTTATTCACACGCCCACTGAAATAGTTTATGTATTGGCAGCAAAACTAATTTCCGTTTCGTGTACAACGCCAGGACATTTTAATATTTACAGATAAATCCAACCGAATCCCTTATTCAGATAAAAGTTTCTCAAACACATGCAAATCAAAAGTTGTCGACACGTCAAAATCCAAACATAATTTTTATTGTATGAAACTCAACAGGAAAATAAAGTCCTTCGATTTAAATTTTATTGAAGTAATTTTTTTTTAATATACAAAATAATAATTTCATATGATATTGATTTTTCCATTTTCATTTTTATAAAATTATGAAGTGTTTATTGTCGTTTTACATATTTTTTATGTCCTCTCGTTTCCATGAAATGCGTTTGTCATCGAATTTTTTGACCTCAGAATTACTCCGTGCTTTAAATGCCGAAATTGCGGCGAGTGGACAAGATTTGGGTACTTTACCAGAGGAGCCAGATTATGCGGACACAGTTTTCAATGAATTGGAGGTAGCAAGTAAATTTGACATGCTACGTAAGTTGGAAGATGATTTACGTGAAGAACAGGATATTGTTAGCAAGTCCGCTGTTTTAATGAAACTATTGGAGGTGCGTACACACACTCAATATATTCAACTTAATATGTTATTTATCACTCTTTCACACCATCTTTGATTTAATTTTTAAGTGTTTATCTTACTTATTACTCATTACAGGATCCAACTATCGAAGTATTGCCACTTGTCTATGTTGAGGAAGATCCCGTTGAAGACGCTAATAATATATTATTTCCCACTGGTACAGGCATGACCAAGCGTTCTCGCTATTACCGTCGTTATCCTTGGAAACGACACAATAGAAATCGTAGGTAAGTTTAAAAGTTGGGATGTGGAATAGCAGCAGGAAGACAATTTAATAGATAAATATGATACAAGTATTTCAATCAATTATTATGAAAGCAATTCGAAACTTTGATCATTTTGATGTTCGAGCATGCTCTCTGGGTCAATCCCAGAGAGCAGGTCATATATGTGCGAACACCATAAGGGACTAAAGCATATTCAGTTATGTTTGTTTTTATAAAACCAAACCAAATGAAATGAAAGCAGTGTAACTTGAATATTTTCAAAGATTTGATTTGTTTGATGCAAAAGTTCCAGATCCAAATACACAAGCATCGTAACACTCTAAAAATTTAAAGCACTAGTTAAAATGGATTCGTTTTTGATTAATTTTTTACATATCACGTTTTTTATTTTCTTTTTAAAAAATATAAATAAATGGACTTGAATGTTTTTTCATAAGATACTTTAAATAACCAAGATACTGAGATATTAAAACAATGTTTCCCATCCCTTGTTATAGTGTGCCCCATCTTTCTAACCTTGTAGCTCCGCAAATCAAATCAAGGCTGATATAATATAATATGAGATCTGAATATAATATTGTCTTCCGTTTATATTTTAACCGTATTATTTTAGTGGCATTAATATATAGATAAAGATGAAGAAATGTTCTTTTATCTTACCTAACTGCTTTTTTTTATTCATCCATTATCTAATTTGCTCTCTATATTCTAACTACTTCAAACGTGCTTTAAAACAACACTTTTAATAATGACTTACTTATTAATTTATTAATGACTTTAATAAATGACTTTAATAAACGACTTTTTTAGTAAATAATAATACTAATATCTATAATGATAGTAATTGGTTTAGTAGTTATGTAGGTTAAGCTATAGTCGGCATGGAACGACTATGACTTTTTTGCTGTTAGTTTAAATTTTTGGCTATTTTTCTCTTTTTTGTCTTAGCACATATGAGCCGGAATTGCGTTATGCTTGCACACCAACCAAGGAGGATGTCTTCAAGCTTTTGGTGAATTTACACGAGAACCGAAAGGGCAACCATAGCAAGACAGTTAACTTCTGCAATCGTAAACGTCCCGCTAAGGCCATATTCACAAATATAAGATTTTTGGGTTAGGCAGCAAATGCAGAAGAAGCATGGAAAACACAGATTCATTTGAAAAAAAAAAACATAAATAAATTTTCGAAAAATATTGATTTATTAAATTTTAAATATATTATATATAACTTTATGTGTACATTTATTCAAAAAACAAAATATCATATATAAAATATGTAAACTGGCATAAATAATATGGAGAAATAAAAGAACTAAAATTTTAGAAAAAGCCCTGTGCGCAGCTTAAATAATTACATTTAAAAAATCAATTTTAATTATATACTATTTAAATATTTAATACACGTATAAATAAAATAATTAAAAAAAAAAGATTATAATTTTACGTATATATAGTTGAAAATGAAAGATCTTAAGCAACCTATGTATTCTTTAAATGCAATTTAATTATGACTTAGAAGAAACACAAGAAACTTTTTTGAAATTTATTCATATTAAATGTGGTCAATATTGTTAATCTTATAAGACTTCCTTCCCAGTTCGATATAAAAAAAATTTTTTTTGTTGGTTTTGGGATTGAAATATTTATTAAAATTGTATATAAAATTAGTCAATCAATTAATTAATCAAAACTTAAGAAATATTTGCAAATTTATTAATAACTAATATACATACCAATATATATAAATACATAAATTAATATATATATTCACTTTAATGTTTTAAAACTTTTGAGTGTGTAAACGTGTCATATCAGAAAATTAAAAAAAAAATTATTGCTGCATGAAAATTTATGAAATACTTAATTATTTATCTATTTATTTAAGCAAAAAATCTAAAAGATGAAAAAGATGAGAAAGTTGAATTTATTTTTATTCAACACATTTTCAAGGTAAATTAGTTAAAATTAACCATTTCTGTGTGTGGTGTGTTTTGTAAATATTAATTTTCAACAAAAATTAATAATAATGCCAAATAGAATAACATATGTGAAAGCATGAAAGCCGTCTTAAGCTAAAGTAGTACGTACATATAGTATAAAAAATCTGGAAATAAGCTAAGAAAACGAAAAAAAAAAATAGAAAACCTAACAAAAATCAAAATGATGTTATTTTTCCTTCTTCTTCTTTTTTTATATTGGCAGAAATATACATAGCTATTATAAGGTACTTCTTAAGCTGATTAAACATCATAGTTAGCCTCAAGAAGCCTCAATCCTCGCCTAAGTACAAAAGTTTGTTTCTTTACGAGATTTTGAAAATATTTTGTTTAGTGAAAACCAGGATCAAAACTATGTAAATAAATACAATTGTGTTATTTTTTCCTAAAGTCCATGTGCATTTAATTGTGGTGTAATATGTAGCATATAGTCACGGAGCTGTGAGACTACTTGCAACTTGCAAATTAGTTGATAAACACTTTACCTGCCGTAAATTTATTAAACCTAAACTTCATTAGAAATTAATTGGAATCATTTATATATTACACATGGAAGCTATTAAAATGTAAAAGATTTTTTTGAAGATAAACACAAAAAATCAATAATAATTAATAACAATAAATTATATTCAATTATTAGAATTGATTATAATAAATACTTATTAACATTTTTTGTCGCATAGACGAAAAATTAGTTCTTAAATATTGATGTTAAATATGAGCAGTTCCAGAAAAAGGTCTACCAAAACCTATTTATATTTATGTATTTATTTATATTTCTAATTTCATATTCCAAACTTAATTTTTTATGTATATCATATGTATGTCAAGAGTACAACTGCAATAACACACACATATTTTTACCCAGTGCGAAAAGACCATTCAACCATTTCTATCTCACAAGAGTCATAAACGATTGATTTACTTTCGTATTGGACAGAAAAAGTTTCACTTCACAGTATGAACTTTTTAAGTTAAAGTTGAATCTATAAACTATTGCATGAAATGACAGACAGTAAATATAGAAACACCATTCATTCATTTTAAAGTTTATTGTCTTCCAAAAGAGTTGATCATGTTAGAGCCTTACCAGATACTGTTATCTCACCAATCAAAATATCAATTAAAGTGTTGGAATAATATATGTAGGACAAGCAACTTGCAACTAACAGCATATTTGACTATTAAAATTTTTTTTAAAAAACTTGAACATATTTCTTATAAACCTCGAAGTTCAGAGACTCTGTTTACTTCCGTTGCAATAACTAAACTATGGGATACTCTTTCATTTTCCACAATAAACTGAAAAATATCTATAATATGTCACTCTCCAACATCCTTAAACTCTTTAGCAATTGGAATAAATTTAGTACAATTTGATCTCTCGTTGATCTTAATTTCATAACGTTATTAAAACAGAACTATCGTTGTACTGGTAGCTTCGTTCTGAGAAATTCCAAATGTATTCCAAATGAAAAAGAGATTTTTATAACATTTTAATCTCTTTTTATTTCTCCTTCTTCAGCTTAAGTAATAAATAGATAATAGATATGTCATACTAGAATGTTATTTTTTGGACAATTTGTTTTTAATTTTGTTCGAATTCCTCCTTCTAGCTGACGTATTCCATTTTTAGTAATTTCAAATAGTGTGATTGGATGAAATAAATTTTTTATATTGTTTCATAGTAAAATCTTGACCATATTCTTTTATAAAATTTTTTTTTCTTTAATATTATGTAAAAGGACGTAAATCAATCGATGTTTATTGTTTAATTTTTTATACTCTATGTAGGCATAATAATTTTTTATTTGTCTTCGTTGTAATAATATATCTAATATTTATATTCCACTGAAATAATAAAGAGGTCTAGAAACACTATAGCAATATCCAAAGCTATATGTTTCCTGAAACTAAAATTGTGTAGATATACAATCATTTAAGCAAATTATACAAATAATATTGTTTTCATCAGAGTTGATGATTTTATGGAACCTCAACTTATAAGTTCACCTCAACAGCTATATAAATTTTAAATAACTCATCAATCACCTCATCCATCTCATCTCATTATTTTTAGCGGATAATGCATAGACTATTAATTAGTCCATGTTAATTAATATCTAATAATGAACCAACAGAATCAGGTAAGTAGTAAGGAATGGTTTGTCAAACACAGAGACTATGACATAAATGCTGGTCTCAACAGAATCTGTTAAAACCCCATGGAACTTAAACCGCATAAGAAGAAACTTAGTTAAAAAATTAAAATATTTAAATCTAATGTATTTTCAACCTAATTGTTGGCTAAAAAGAATTTTAGATGTGTAAACAATCAAAAAATATATTATAAAGTATTACTTATAACTATTATTAATTTACTCCTAGCCTAGTCTAGTCTATAGTCACATAATTTGGAACAATTGCAGCACCTCCCCTCAACTTTAACCTTTGGCTTTTAAACAATAATTTTGTTGAAATTAATATTCCACATGAGAATATTTTTTGAAGTTCATTATTAATAACAAAACAAAAATTATTCTGAGTAACTCAAACCTTAAAAAATTCATTAATCCAGAAATAAAAGTTGAACGCTTACATAAACTCACATTCCAATTCGGAAAATTGGGTATCATCAACCCACAGCAATTAAATTCTTGTAATTGAGAAGCGATATTGATAGCATTCGCTGAAGTTATCATTGCACTCCCCTTCGACGGGCACATCCACGTCAGGTTCACATTCTGCTAAGTAAATATTTTTGCTGAAATCATTGTATGACAATGAATCAGTTCCATTGTTGGCATCAATAACTTCATCATCTTTACTCTCAGTGGCGAACAGTTGTAAAAAATGGCACGCAAATTGAAAACCTAACGAGATACAATATTCTGCATTTCATTGAATGCCACAAACGCGGTTTATTGGCACAAAACAATGGAAATTGGAAGAAAAAGCTTAAGCAAATAAAAGCAGAGCAGAGAACAGAGCGGAACAGAGATGGGCACAATGGAACTCATTTTCGATATGCTAGCATATCTATAAAAAGAAAGTCATTAAAGTTCGTTTAAAAAAGTGTTCATTTCAAAACTCAGTCACAAGCAAACCGAGTTTAACTCCATTAGGTCTTCAAAACATATTCTTATAAAAGAAAATACAGAGGTTATCACACGTATGAACAACTTGAACATTATAATATATACAAAGATAGTTACGGCCAAAATTATCTGAATCTTAAAACAAATCAGCTGGGATATTACTGCAATCTACTGGAATCCTTAAAGAAAATTTTGGATACGATTAATAGGAACAACCAAGGTATTTCAAATCTGCACATACAATGATTTTACAAACGAAGAAGAGAGAGTTTCACACCTTTATCATTACTACGCTTTTTTTCATTACTCCTTATTACTACCGATCTTATAAACCAGACAAAAATATCTAAGACAAGACTACGCAGAATATTTAATAAAATAACATCATTAAAATCATCAAAAAAAATACAGATCTTATTGGACTATGTGAAGTAAATCTCTCACAGCGGCGACCATCTAACTTCACTAAATTTCAAAATTGGGTGGGTAAAAAATTTTGCTCCTAATAATACAAACAAAGTGGTTTTCACATTAAACGCAAATTCATATTTTGAGATTATGTATTTCATTAATTTAGTATCTGATACATAATATAAAGATAAAATAAAGCATACCTTTCTCTAAGCTTTGATATCATATAGAAGTTGCTTAAAGCAGACGGTAAAGGTACCGTTAATGTGATTTATTCACTTAAATGATGTGATGTTGCAGTGTATTCATTTTAAAGTCAATCCACAAAGTTGTTCAATCCAGAAAAGATGAGAGAAGAAAAGGTGCTCAATTGTTATAGGAAATTCTAAGTATAGCCGCATGCTGCACACTTTTGGCTTCTTGTTTCAGAGGGTTGTGAGCTTGATGTTTTAATAATTGTATTGTCTCACCAATTTTAAATATGTATGAAAGTTCAGCTAACGAATTCATTATAACTGCAGATATTGGTATATATCTTTGCAATAGTGATAATGACCGATGGATAACTAACTTCCTAGGTGCAGCTATTGATACTATATATACTACAGGTTGAAATCAGATAACAGCACCATAAGATCTTTAGAATAATTATAATAAGCGAGAGTAAGAGCATTGAAAAGAGAGCGAAAGAAAACATAAAAGTTAAGGATTGATTACACAAGTGGAATCTATATAAACTTTATATCCATAAGGGGAAAACATTGGATAAAGTTTACATTATCGATATAAAACAGTTAAATGACGTTGTGTTTAAAGTTCAATATGCCTAATGATTGTAGGTTGCCCATTTCAGTCTTTGCAATATTTTCGGAATACGACATGATTTCTATAAAAACTGAGAGAAAACAATAGATTTACTTATCATGGACGAGCCTACAAAACTTGCGAAAGATGACATCACAAAACTCCGGAATAACAATTGAAAAAAACTCTCCAATGTGTATCGAAATTACTCAGATATTTTTTCTTATAATTTGGTTGTAAATATTTGTGAAGCACACCACGTACAACACATTTTCATTAAACAATGCAAAAGAAGTGTGAACTGAAATTACCCAACAGGCGATGAAGCCGGCAGTGGATTAGACGGCAATGAGTCCATTGATGACGACAGCAGACAAGCGGAAACTTTGAAGCACAAACGTTTTATTTGTGTTTCAAAAATAATAAGTTTTTATTGTTTGAAAAAAATATATTTTTTTAATGGTTCTTATATATACACATATACAAATATACATAATTATATATGTATAAAGAAAACAAGAAAAAAATAAAAGTACTGTAATGACAGAATACTTAGCTGCTATTGAGATCTGCAGTATCGGAAACTAAGTATTGCCATCCTGTGCGATTTTTAAATATGAACATAGTCAACCTGAAGATGTCTCCAGTATATTTAAATAACAACATTATTCTCTTAAGCACTGCCTAAAACCGGTACTTTCAATCAACTGACATTTACCGATCTACATAAAGAAATGTATATGATACCTAATGGCATCTGAAGCAGTCTTCACTGCATATATAAAAACGCTCTAACTCTTTAGGTATCTAAAGTAAGACAACTGCAATATCAATTAAAATGGAATAAAAAACTGCTTAATTTCTTTGATTTTTGGCATAATCTCTTCGTGTTTATTTTTACAAATATATTGGATAAACTTAACCAAAAATATTGCCAAACCAATTTCGCTGTGGAGCATAGCAGGTCGGCTTAGTAATCCAAAGTGAATCTACGGATAATTTTAATATATCAGATGTATCAAAGGAGCAATGACTGCGCTCCTCTGGGGTGATTGGTGCATCAATGACATTTGTTTGCCAGTCATTACTATCCGGCTCATCAAAATCATCAAATTCATCATCATCGAATTCATCATCAATATAACGTGCACGGGCTAGTGCTTCATCACCATCAAAATAGTAATATTCCTTACGCGTTGAGTTCGTTTCTACAACACTGACAGGCTGTTGAACAGCGGTGGGCTGCGTTACCAGCAAATCTCTAGATTCTCTGAATTGAGGTTGTAACTGTGACTGTGATTGTGACTGTGACTGTGATTGTGATTGTGTTGGAGCCTGATATAACAGTTGATTTGGTTGTAACGGTTGTAGTGGTTGTAGCGGTTGTAATGGTTGCAGTGGTTGTAGTGGTTGTAGCGATTGTAACGGAAGTGACCAAAATGTTTGGAACTGTTGCTGATGCTGTGGTGAGATTGGTCCTATTTGTCCTATTTGTCCTGGTTGATAGTAAGAGTGTTGTTGCGTTATTGGCAGAAGTGGTTGCTGCTGTTGTTGGAATTGTAAATTTTGTGACCATTGCTGATTCAAGCCAGATTGCTCGAATTGCTGTTGTTGGAATCGTTGTGGCTGCAATTGTTCGATTTGTTGTTGTAACTTGTGCTGTTGTAATTTTTGTTGCTGCAATTGTAATTGCAGCTGCTGTTGTTGTAATACGTTTTGTTGTTGGAACGGTCGAAGCCCTTGTAGATTTCCATTAATTCCAAAGCGATTACCTTGTTTTCTTTTATTCTGCTGTAATCGATTTCGATTTCCTAATTTTATTTGCTGTAGCTGCGCAGGACTACATTCCTCCTGTGAAATTTCTAGTAGGAAGCCATTTGATGGTAGACCAGAATAGCCCATGCGCATGCGTATTATTTTTCTGCTGTTGCTCCAATTACCTACGTAAACATAACCTGTCCGACAGCCGCAGAAACGTTGTCGTCCAATTTGTATATAGTCTTCGGTGCAGAGATTTCTTGAAACTGCTGCTGCCACATTAGAGTTAACGGGGCGTCGTTCCAAACCACTGTATGTTTGTCCGAAATCAAAAAATTTAAATTCTATTCGTAAACGGCAAACACTGGTAGAGGCCTTCTCCAAGTGAAATTGACAATCTCGCTTTTGCGTGGGTAGTAGAGCGCTAAACACAGTTCTTGGAAAACCAGGACTTGATAAATAAAAATGTTTCTGCTGAAAACTACTAGAACAGCAGAGCTCCACACCATTTTCCGCCCGTAAAGCTTCATCAGCATCCACGGATTTCAGCAGTGGCTGCGTTTGCCAAGAGTTCACTGGATATTGATCAGTAATTCCAGGTAAAATTTGCCCATAGTATGCTTGATGCGGCGTTGGCAAGTAATTTTGCGCTGGCAAATCAGTGGTATCAGTCTTTGTTTGCGGACAAGGTTGCTCTCTTCCAAAACTATTAGCTACTGGACTGAGTTGAGATAAACTAGGATTAACTAATGCGGTATTTTGTGTTGTTGGATTATATCCAACTGCTGGTAGATAAAAACCACCAAAACCACTTGGTGGTGGAGGTGGTACTGGTAGTTGTTGTGGTAAATTTAAACCAAATAACGGTTGTGGCAAAAACGGTATATGTTGTTGTGCAGTAAAATTTCGAAATAGTGCCGGTACATTAGTGCTTGGTGGTTGTATAACTGCCGGCGGTACATTAATTTGAACAGTATCCTCATCGCTTTTGTCGACATGTTTACGCAACATTTCTTCTCGCTCGCATGCCAATCGTGTGACCAACAATTTAAATCCTTTCCCAGTGGTCCAAGGCGAATCGTCTGCAAAGAAACGCAAACGCAACACTCCATCCGGGGTGTGATACTTTTTTATACCAATAACCTGACCACACAACACATCCATATCATTTTCGTCATTCTCCAAACCTATGGCCAAGTAATCGTTAGTACAGTTAGTCGATGACTCCAAAAAAAAATCCAAAAATTGTATATGAAATTTGGTAGGACAGCGAAACGGCGACCGTATAACATAGTCCCAGCAAGTATTGATCGGATAGTTGTCAGGATAATTAGGTGATTCCAATATATTTTGCCGGGCTTTGTAAACTCCAGTCAAACCGCACTGAGGTATCTCATCGTGTACCATTGCTTTAGCAGCCAGAAAGCATGAACCGAAAAACAGTATCATTCTTATCGCAATCATTTTGTGTCTTTATTATTAATTGTTTTTATTTTTTATTTATTAAATTTAAAATTCGTGTTTTAGTAATAGATTCCCCAGAACTTTGCAACGAACCGTTTAAAACGCGGTCTTACCCGCAACTAATCTCAAAAGTTTTGTGTTTTTAGTTAATCGCGCTTGAAATTTTACGTCCAAATATTTGTTAACTTTAACTTTTTTACAGGTGCGAACTTTTGTATGCGTTCAGTTTCGTAAGTTTTTCGTAAACAATTTAAGTTTTTGTTTAAAAATTTTTTTCTTCAGTTTCATTTTCATGCCATCGAAAACAAAAACGTTTTTTATTAAATCACAAATAACTAAATACAAAAAGACATGAATTCCAGATCAAGCTCGGGTTCAATAAACGGAAGACAACCGCAGATTGTCTCCAATTTCATCTCAATCAGATGCCTAAAGTCATTACAGGTGAGCTATTTTTACGGAAGTCGAAATATTTCACACTTGGAATTAATTACTGCATTTTGGGAGTGAACTAGCGATCTTCCCTTAAAATTTTTAGAATACATTGACAGTGAAAACCTACATCGATGGATTTTGTTGTGGAAGAGCTTCCTATTCTATACAAGTAACGGTTAAGATGGATTTTGTTACCACACACCCGGAAATAACATTTTTTTAAAGTCTATGTATCAGTTGTTTACTAGATTTCATAGCTCATGAATTTTTATAGTGGAATATTAACAATAATACATAACTGTTCAATATTTTCTTATAACTCTTCTTCACTACACCTTCTGCAATTTTTATTAGACAAATTTCTAAATTTTTTGTCACTAATCTAAGAAAATGTTCTTAAATATGTTTTTAAAGACATTTAAATCAGATCAGAATTTCTTTGTCTACAGGGGATGTTTCTGAATTGTGTCTGGCTAAATAATCCGCAATTTAATTTTTTTTACATACTTCAGCGCATTGGATCCGAAATTAATGATATTGTGCACAGATTACTTACTGAACTCAGTTGAGGTTTGTACTGCTTACTTTGTTTTATACTATAGCCACACATAACGAGAATAGCGACTACATAGTTCAAAAGCTTGTAATAAATCTATTTCGTCTTTTTTTCTCAATCAAAGAGGGTCGTTCATAGCAACATTTGCAATTTGGATAACACTGGACAAGCTCGTTATGTGAAAGGATCTTCTTATTTTTTCTTAAGCTAAGCTAATCCTGTAAGCACCTTATCTTTTTATCGTTATAATATACATATACATGTATATATATATATATATATATATATATATATATCCCCGTCGGACGGACAGACGGAGTATGACATAGATGACATTATTGTTTTCTTTTCTCTCAACACTCATAGCACTACTTTCTATTTAATTTGTATTCTAATATGTTATGCTTTTTTTTCGCATAATAGTAGCATTAATATAAAGTATAACCAATATATTTAAACTAACAAACTATTAATTTATAAACAGCCCGACCCGACTTCAAACCCGACCTTTCTCAACAGTTGCAATGACAATGTTTTCAAAACATGTTTTTAACGTTTTCAGTCATTACAGTTCCAAGCTCATAAAAGGAACGTGTGAGCTCCTTGATGCATTATGTCGACGGATTTGTAGTACTAAGCTAACACAAACTAACCAAACACGGCAAGGGACTAATAATATGTAACATAATCGATTCACATCCGAACATTATCTTTTTTTTACTTACCTCTCCGACTACTAAGAGATATGCTGACATTCACATGTTACGCCGATTACCAGCTCGAAAATAGCATTAACAACACATATTAGCAAAATGGATCTCAACTAATTGTTGTCTCTACCTAGCAAAAAACCACGATATAAACAATATTTACTTTTAATAACTACATAGCAAGGACTTCTCTTAGTATTTAGAACTTGCATAGCTGGAAGGTTAGCTAAGAGATCTTACTTACCTGAATTAACATCTGAACAAGATGGGTCTAATTGCGATTACTAAATATCGTCTCAGCTAAGAAGAAGTGTGTTAAAAACTACTATATTAAAACTAGTGAAAACTACTAGAAAACAACGAATTAACCCTTGCAACTGTAGAGAGTTGTCCTTTCTCAGTAGAAAAGGTTTGATGTTACTGACAGGACAACGAAATGGACCTGTCTACAAAAACGGATTATCAAGCTTGATTAAAACCTGAAGACATCTGTAGTCACATTCTTTGTAAATACCTACTTTTGATATAGGGAAGGAGAAAAGTACTGGACCGGGAAATCATACTCCCATCTGATATTAGAGACATTTTGATCATCATACGAAAGGCTGAGTGGATTCTATTTAGTTAGGGTCAATTATTAATAAAAACAAGATCTACTATAGTCACAGTACTCCGTTCAACTAATAGCCTTGATCCATGTAAACTTGTATCTACAATATATACCTAACTTAAGCAGATACATTAGCGTTATGCATTCAAAAATAACTAATAATTGACCGTTTGTGTGGTTGTATATTTTTATTCATTAACTCAATTGCATAATATTTGCAATACATAATTTGTTTAAAGAGTTCAGGTCTTCTTTGACATTTGCCGCATTTGTTATTTTTTATTTATTTTCATTTATTTCAGTCTTGTTTCAAAAAATCCCTTTGTTTGCCGAACAAATTTCGTATTTACCTGACACGTACTCAAATGCTCAGTTGACCTTATTTCAAGCAAGAAAGTAGAAGTTAATAATAATAATGGACAGACAGACATATCTAGCTGAATTTGTTTACTCGGAAATGAAGACCTCGTCCAACCCAAAAGTTCGTACCTTCCATTGTGATTGATAAATTTGGGTGCAGACGTGCTTTCTTAAAGGTAACCTTCTACTGGTAATGTGACTTCACCAAAACTACACGCAATTTTACTTTATCAACTGAAATTTAAGTTTATCATCATCATCATCATCATCACTGTTGTTATCGCTGTAATATATCTTTTATATGAATTTTTTAAACGAAATTTTTACATTTTTAGTTTCCGTTTAGGGGATTTATTGCATTTAGCTTTGACTTACTTATCTTTTATCTATAAAAGTAGACAGTATTTTAGCTTTATATGCTTTTAATGCATTTTTGTATATTTTACAACATTAGGTGAGTGCGTTTTTATGCTGGGAGTATAAAAATCTAAATTTCAACAATAAAAAACTATTACGACCAACAAAAAACCGTTAATTTTAAAACTATAGTTCAAAGCCTTAAGAGCTGCGATTTAATATGGGGACCGCACATAGAAAAGCAGCAAAGAGGAAAAAATTGTCATATGAAGAATAATAAGAGAGCCCCAAAATAGTATAACCATTTTTCACAATTTAAACTTAATAGAGCGTAGAAAATAGGCACCAATGATACTCGTATATTTGGATGCTCTAAAATCTTACACTACCGCTGTATGTGGAGAAAACCGAGTTTAACATATTTACGTTTTTTGCCGGCACCTTCATTTGGACTCATAGTGCTAATTCCATAAAAAAACATCAGAGGCTATCTAAGCTATATGTGTTATTGATTCGTATGATAAGACAAATCCATTTAGCGATGTCTGTTTAATTACACTGCCCATCCGTATATTTTCCAGTCTGTAAAGAAGCAATCCTATTTCGCCGTTCAGTGGCGTCGCTAGGCGTCAGCGATGTCGGCGACCGCTGACGGCCTCGCGCCCTCAGGAGCCTCGCAAAAAGTTACCGACTGTGGATTCTAAGTACTTAATAAATATTTTAAACAATTTGGTTTGATGATGGCATTAACCATATTCGAAATATTTCCGAATGTTTATATAGTAACCAGTTTCATGTTCACAGTTCCAGTCAGTATAGTTTCGACGGAAAGAAGCTTCTCAAAGTTAAAATTGATTAAGACGTACTAGAAAAGTATGATGATCCAAGAGAGACTATCTCCATTGGAAATTCTATAAACTGAAGCAAAAATAGCAGCTGGCGCAAATTATGATATAATTTAAAAAAAATTGAGTGAGGCTAAAAGTAGGAAAATTCATTTATTTTAATTTGTGTTTATTTTAATTTGATTAGCAATAAAACTTTTAATCATGCTTTGTCATATTAGTGAATGTAACTTATTTACTTTTACAACTGGGTTAACAGGGGGCCTCGCAATTCTAATGTCGCCGACGTCCAGAGTTGGTCTAGCTCCGCCACTGTCGCCGTTACATATTTTCTTTATATAGAAACTTTCTTTAAATCCAAGTAATTGAAGTCGATATTTGTTTGAATTTATCATGTAACCTCCTACAAAATAATTACCGAAATACAACTAACTGTATTTTTATTAGCACAATTTTTGTAGTTCGAAATTTTGTAGCTCGAAGATATTTCTGAGCGTAAAAGGCAGAGAGGAATAAACGCGATCCTGAAATTCGTGAGCAAGAAGTTAAAAGGATATATATAGTTAAAAATAATCCTGAAAACTGTTACAAAAAAATTATCTATATATATCTCAGATCTCAACCTGAAGCATCAGTCCGCAAAAAAGTATTTACATAGTAGTTTGGTTACGAGTACAAAGAGAATATGAAAAAACACTTCTACAAAAAACCACTTCTTACTTAATTAGTGATACTAAATAGAAAAGTAAGAAGTATATACTATATGAAATCTCATATCGTTATATTATATTTTATTTCACATCTTCATTTTATAATATATCTCATCATTATTAAATAATTATTATTAAGTGATACACATAACGAAAAGATATACAATATCTATAGAATTGAAGTCCTAACAAATATTTGTGTTTCAATTTTATTTCCATTTTTGAATAGTTTGTAGTTTATTTAATTTTTAAAAAAATGTTAAAAAACTCGTTGGCAATTAGTTTTTGTTGCCAATGAAAATTTATGTAAAAATACTTTTAACAAAATTTTAGCAGCTTCCATATATCAAATATGTCTCTTGTACGAGTGTCCCATATACACACCAATGGCTGTGGTTATTGAGAGCGATTGCCCCACGTGAACGTATTTACTAGAAATCTAATAGGCATTTTAACCGTAGTTTCGATGAAACAATGGAAATGATTTATTAAAGAAATACTTCCATATTTTTGCAAAAATTCCATTTGTATACGCAATAAACAAAAAAAAAATTATGATATGTACTGCAAATAGAAACTACTTTTCGACCATTTAGAAACTGTGTTTTCGTGTTTTAAATATTTTAAAATTATTTTTTCAACCGAAAATTTATGTTATTTTAACTATTTGAAGAAGAGTTATCATATTTTATGGGATGGTGAATTATGAACAACATTTATATCAGAAATTTCCGACCACCTGAAACATGAATAAGTCTTCTTATCAACATAATCGGCACTTCAACTTATGACCAGTTTTTGGCTTCTTTAACAAATCTCTCCACCGATTCCAATTTTAGGTCGATGTCATATTTCATTTTATATTCAATAAAAATATATATAATTTATTAAAAATTAATATTACAAGTGACCAAAATAACAATATTCTACATCTCGTATCTTCTTTCTACAAAAGAGTTGTCTCCAAAAGAATAAGAACTCAGAACTAAGAACTCAACGAATATAAAAGACCAACAACCGAAACAGGTGTGGCTGAAAAACGACTACTGGAGAAAAGATCTTTATAAAACTGCGAAAAAGGTTAATTTTAAAAAAACGCCCGGTTTAAACTGTATCCAAAATAAGGTAATGAAAAATGCAATAAAAATAACATTTTGTATAGTTCAGAAATTAAGGAACTTTTCCAAAAAAATAGGAAAAGTATTACATATTATAAATCTGTCTCACAACTTTGTACATATTTAAGAAGATTCGATTGCCTATGATGAAAAATAACCGAAATTACCAGCTCAGAACACTAACATCCGCTATAGAGATAACAATATAACCGATGCAATTCATGTACTGAAAGGGGAAAATCGAAGAATGATAGAACAAATATTACTTGATCCTATTCTGACACTAATCTGAAGAGAAGAATTGTTACCAACTTTGGCTATATCTTCTACTAATAAAGATTCTAAAAACACGGGACTTGTCGGTTAGTACATACTATTAAGAAATTTTTTTACTTTTAATTAGTTGCAGAATTATAATAACAATCTTCTTCCTAAGAACTTAGAACAAAATAGATCATATGTAGATCTTGTAAATACACTCAGTATTATTGTGCAATAAAACAATATGTATTACCCCCATATATATATATGTTTATACCTTTCCATATAATACACCGATTAATATTATGGCATTTTATTCTTCATGTACCACATACGAGTATGTATTAAAACTTAGTACCCATGTGGATGAAACCTTGGTGAAATATAATTATGTGTTTACTTGAATTCGTCAATTTTCTCACGTAGGCCAATTTCGGAAATTTTTTGTACTTACTGCTTTTATAATTCTTATTATTGCATCTGTAAACAGGGTTATACCGTTAATAGCGCCATTAATAACATCAAATCAGCAATCTGGCAACTTACTCACTTTAGTCAACTTTTTATACCATGAAGACTATCGTAATATCTGTTAAAGTCATGCAACGAAAACAAACCTACGATCGGTAAAATATAAGTGCTTTAAATTTTAACTTTTTTGTGTATTAACACGGCTTTCAAAGCGTTACGAACGGTTCTTCTTCTTAGTATTCGAAATTATATTTCACTTTTATAAAGACGAATTCTGTCAATCTCAGATTGGTAAATAATATTAAATTTGGGCAACAAGTTTATCTTAAAATAAAATTTGTCACTTGAGAGTTCTACAAAATCAAACCAATAGTAATATTTTTTGCTGTTTATTAAATCATTACTCTAGGTGTTAACTGTTAATCAGGTAACTTAAAACACATGCACAACTATATCAACAAATAGCTAATAAAGTGCCAGTAGATCTTGTCTCTCTAAAAGAAGCAATGTATCATAATAATATGCAGAAAACCTCAAAGAAAATCTCCAAAATCTTAATCCGTTAATTAATATTCTTTCAGAAAATGTAATCTGCGCTTTTATTAAGAACGAATAAAATGACCGGAAATTTTAGTAATGTGAACTTAATTGTCAAAGACTATAAACGAAACACTAACCAATAATGTTGTGGTTATCAGGCTATATAGATATTTCTATAACTACTCTTCGATATGTTTTGTATGTATTTCAAAGGTTTTCGTGTGAAATGTTCATAATAGAGAACTTTAAATTTTTGGATGTCTTTATGTGTTCTGCTCTATTGTAGACACCAAAAATGAATCTTTAGATGACATTGTGATCATTAATATTTCCGTACCTTTTTATAGCTTAGCTCCACACAATACTGCAATTATTTTAAAGAAAATGTAAAGTTTTTTAAACCCATTACGAACAAGTAACATGTACTTCGAACGCCCATAACGGCTATAAATGTGCTTGTCCCTAGAACTTGCTGCTTGTATCAATAAAAATGATTTCTTGCTCATTCAACAGAAAAGTGTTTATGATAGGAATAGGAATAAACAGGGTACTAACTCCCAACGGAGAGGAGCACTGCAACCATGGTTGATATTTTGTGCTGCCTAACCGAACAAAAGACATTCCGCCTTCCGAATGAAAACCAGAATATTGGTTATTAAAGACCTACTAATATCAGAAGGGAAGAGTAGTTCCCGACCCAGTGACCTCCTCCTAACCCAGATCAAGGCTGGGCAGTTGCAGAGAATGTGACTAAAAGTCTTGTCTGCTTCTAAGCAGAGTCGACAATCTATCTCTTCGGACAGACCCATTTTGTTAAGATGATAACGCAGTCCATGATGACCAGTTAAATATCACACCAGTAACCTCAACTTTGTTCTTCTGAAGAAGGATACCTTACAACGGTTACCTGGAATGTCGTGCCAGTAGTGACTTTTCTCGGCTGAAAAACTCTAAATAGCTTCAATTAGTCTTTAAATAATAAATGAAATTATTTCCACACTGCCAATACATAGATTGGATACTCAAACTTCTTTGTTTTCTTCAGTAAAGTTTAGTTTTTATCTAAGCCTAATTTTTATATACATATGTAATCTTTTTGTAACTAATCATATTCTCTCTACCGAATGACGGAAAATTCTGAGCCTGTCATCAATGACACACAAATTATAAAAATTATTTATTTTTTTACATTACTCAATGACGTGACCAATAATAAATAGCAACATTCAATCTCTTAATGTCAGCAGAAACCAGAATAGTTTGTGGTTCACAATTTTAGAGCACTAGCTAAATCACCCTGTATTGTGTGGAGAAAACTTACTAAGTATTATAGATAAGAACAATACAATATAGTTCTATATGATTCTGAGATATCAACAGTAAATCATAACAAATTTATGTATTTATTGCATACAAAAAATGAAACAAGACACAAAATTAAATAAATAAATAATTTTGTTGAAACTATAGCAAAATTAAATATTTAAACATAAACAATCTCTTATTATCTAAATTATAGTTAATAGATATAAGACTTTAATCCTCAGAAATAGAATAACAAATATATACAGTACTCTCTGGTCGTTAATATACTACAGCAGGAGAATTAGTCAAGTGTTGATTGTGGAATTCATGGCTATCAAAGCCATGAAAACCAAAACTTTGAATCAAAGTTTTGTAAATAAAACTGCAACACTGGCACCGCTTGAACTATTTCCTGAAATATAAAAATACATTTAAAAATTATTTAGAAACATTTAACTTTCCCCTCTCTTGTCAACGCATATGCTCCAAATTATTACAGGTATTTATAATGTATCTCATTGTCATAACTTGCTGTTACTAACCAAATACAATGAATACTGCCAGTTTTATCGCAAAGATAATTTAAATCTAAGAAGATTTTAATGCACTTCCCACTTTCCACTTCCCACCAATATACGGTTTTTTATCAGATACACTTAAGAGTATTTCGTAAAGTAATGTGAATATAAAAATGCTCTCATAATCCATTGAAATATCAGTCACATTCTGAGTGTGGATCGCTATCAAGTGTTGTGTTGAATTTATATATTTCCGAAATGTTTGCACGCCCATTGCAAAGCATCACCACTATTAAAGAACAACAAAAACAAAGCCAATCCTTTGATGGACCCTATCAGTACAAAATATCAGATCATGGATACGGCAAAGATGCGGTCAAGGTATTACATGTTCAAAGAAACGGTCCAGTGCATACAATAAAAGAATTTGAAGTCGGTACACATCTGAAACTATACAGCAAAAAGGACTATTTACAGGGTTAGAGAATCACATAGGTTTCAATTTACTTTGGTTTAATTAATGAAATCCCATTTTCTTGTTTTGTAAATATATTGCAGGCGATAATTCCGATATTGTTGCAACAGATTCGCAAAAAAATACTGTATATCTCCTAGCCAAGAAACACGGCATTGAGAATCCCGAAAAGTTTGCTCTTTTACTGTCTAAACACTTTTTAAATAAGTATTCGCATGTTGAGGAAGTGCATATACATATTGATGAGTATCCCTGGCAACGGATATGTCAGGAGGAAACTGGTTGCACAGATACTACAGGTATAAATGACAGCAACTTTAGTTCCTTTAACAATCGACCAAAGCATAACCATGCATTTGTGTTTACACCAACCTCACTACGTTACTGTGACGTAGTAATGCGCAGAAATGGTAATCAATTATTAATTAAAACTTATCGAATATCGAATAGAATTCAATAAAATTAAAATTCAATGAAATTATTATTATAGATCCAAAACAAACAGTAATAAGTGGCATTAAGGGCTTACGTGTGCTAAAAACCACGCAATCTTCTTTTGTAAACTTTGTCAATGACGAATACCGTTCACTGCCCGACCAATATGATCGCATATTTAGTACAGTCGTCGATTGCTCGTGGGAGTACTCGCACACAGATAATTTAAAATTCTGTCAATCCTGGAATACCGTTAAAAATATAATTATCAAAAATTTTGCTGGTGATCCAAATGTTGGCATTTCTTCACCATCAGTACAGCATACTTTATATTTGACAGAGAAGGAAGCCCTCGACGTCATTCCACAAATATCTGTTATCTCAATGACAATGCCAAATAAACATTACTTCAATTTTGACACAAAACCTTTTCAAACTGTAGTACCAGGGGACAATAATGAAGTATTTATACCGGTCGACAAACCTCACGGCACAATCTATGCTCAATTGGCGCGCAAAGATTTGATTAGTCATTTATAGAGAACTTATGTAAAAAATTTTAATATATGTAAAACATTTGTTTTATAAATAAAACAAGATAGAATTCATTATTTTAATAAAATCACTTCAAAACTTTTTATTCCGTAAACTTTATGAACTTCAACAATGGTTGATAATTGAAATAATTTAAAAATGTATACTATCCGAATACTATTTCTGGGCCATCTGAATATTTCTAGTCGGCAAACTTACCAGATGTGGGACAGAAGTTTAACATCAAGTTAAAAATTATGGGCTAACTTTTTCATTCGATTAAATACGTACTAAACACTACAAAAGAGAAGGCAAGAGATAACAGCAAAGTCGAATATGTCAAAGTGTGCGCACGGCTACATCATTATTATGGGCCAGAGGCAGAAGGAAAAAATGTAGCTTATTTACCCACCATTCCTAAGTATCTTACCTTTCCAAGTCTCTATTTGTTAAGGATAAGTTTTTCCTTAAAATTCCTTAAAAGAACTAGCAGGCCGTAAAACTGAACCGACTTTTAGGTAATAAGTTAATCACATTACTCGTGAAGCAGGCTTCTATTAGCAACTGCAGTTATTAAACATGTGTGATTAAGTAAATTAAAAATGTGATGAAATTGTTATTTTAGAAAATACTCTTCATACCTCTAGCACTACATTACCTCCAACAAAAAATTTCGTTAAATGTTTTATTTAAATAAGCTTGATTTTAAATTTTCTCACTAATTTATTGAGACTCCAGAATCAAGTCGCGAAAAGTCAATAACCAACAAGTATCAAAGCATGCACACATCTGCCTTTCTGGCTTTTCTAGAAGGAAACGAATGGCAATTAATCGTCAGGGAAGGAAAGTTGTTCCGGGGCGCTAGCTCAGTCGCTCTTAGGATCGCTGTGCACACCGGGGTAGTATCTTCTTCTAGATTATGATTATTTAATGTCAGATCCACGCCTAATATATCTAAGAATAAAAGATATCTTTACCATATAGTAAAAGCGATTCTTACCTAATTATGGTCAGGGTGTAACCTCGTGCTTAACAGTTACTTGTCATGCACAAATATGTCTATTCCGAATGTGTGTACCAGCTGCAGCTCTACTTAATATGCAAACAAAAGGTGACTAGATTCCTCAACCTGAACCCAAGCCAAGTTCAACATACTCGCCTATTTTCTTATCTTTGCTACTACCTTATCACATATCTACCATCCTCTCTCATTGATCAGTGTCTTGTAAACCGTGGACTACTAACGAAATAATCCACTACGAGTGAAATCATTATAGCTAATAAATTTTACAACACTTGAGATTCAAGAAACTCACATAATTTTGTATAAAAACACAATCCCTTTGCGGAACTTAGCGATCGGAACTTAGCGAATTAATTCCATCTATCTACCAGTTGTTGATAATATTAAAAGCATCTGTCATCTTGTACGTCAAAAACATTAATGACAACCTTTAAATATAAATTTCTTTCCAATACCGTCGCATTTCTCAGTAGTGTATTATCTGTGTTAATCAGGAAGGTTTCAATATATCAGTTCTATGGATCAAACTATTGGTTCGATTCAAAAATCGGTTTATCTAGCCGCTTTCCTTTGTTCAGAGTTTGAAAGGGATTGGTTTGGCTAGTGATGCAATTTGTGGTTCAGTTAGTGGATCAGTTCAATTGCACCATAAATTAGAAGATTTTAACTTAAAAATGCTCTAATTTAGAACCTGAATTAGCCCTAATTTTAATATACCAATTTATGTTATATTGATTTTTAGAATCAACATAAAAACAATGCGTTAAAATAATTATAAAATATAAAACTATTATATTCATATGACAATTAAAAAAATATTATTTGAAATACAAAATAACACAATTTAAATTTCACAAACTTTTTAATTTAAATTATAAAAATGCTATAATTTCCAATGTTATTCACATTTTGAATGTTTGATCAAACATTTACATAAAATATCGTGCAAACTTAACAAAATTTCTATTTATATATATTTACATGTTTTATATACAAATGGTTGATACTAATGATTTACAAAATTTGCTAATCCTTTCCATCCTTAATATAAGCTTTGACTATGTTGCACTCTGAACTCCTGTCACATAACAGTAACAATGGTTGTTCAGCATTGCTAGATGACAAAGCACTGTTCGAGAGTGGCACAGCAAGGCTGACATTATGAAAGTCTATAGAAGTGTAATGCTCCCAGTTTTGAATGTAAGAGTACTTATAGACATGATAACGGTCTAGTCCAGTCTTTGGCAGGATCAACAGATAATATCCGCCATCAGTTGCTAAGTGAAAAGTAAATATTTTGTTGATCGGTGAATCAAGTTGTAACTCCTGAAGTATCTCATATTTTGTGCCCTTAGCTAACTTCCATTCATAAATGAAAACGCGTTGACATAGTTGACAGGAAAGTATAAAATGCGAAGTGTTCTCTGATAAGACTACTGGTTCTATGATATCATATTCACCATTTATTACTTGCAGCAGACTGAACTTTTCCTTTTCTGGTATAAACACATAAATGCTCAGTGCTCGCCGCTTATCTACCACCGCTGCACTCAACAGCAATGTATGGTTATTGTGTTGGAAAAATTTCAACACTCTACCAATTCCATTCTTAATGGTCTGCCAATCTTTTAGACTCTTTTGCAACTTTTCGATCTTCAATACGCGTACCTCATTTATGTTCCTGTCGGCATTTAAGCCGTGGATTAGAGCAAACGATATATTTTCTTCGGCTCCATGTATAAACACGTTCTCTACAAATTTTTTCATGCCAAACTTTTCTACGAAGTGTGGAGTAGTTAGGGTGATTTTACTCCTAATATTTTTATATTTAATAACGCAATAATTTTCCGCCTTGATACTTACTTTAGACGATGTAGTGGTCACTAACTTTGTGGTTATGTTTGTCAGATATACATTGTTGGTAGCGCTCGAGATTTGGACTTGCAATATTTGACGTTCACAAAACGACAGACGCGTTAGTTCAAACTGAAACAGTTTATCGATGGTTTCATTAGCAGCATGCCAATATACATTGGCCTGTAAATCATAACCTAAATTTCTTAAATAGGGTAGCTCGTTTGTATCTGCACCATCAACAAACGAACTTAATTCATTCACCTCTGCAGTAGCAGTTTCAACTTTTTCGAGTTCCGTAGTTTTTTCTGCCATTTTCTGCTCAACAGAACTAACCATAGTATTAGATATAGAACCTAAACCGGGGACTGCTGCACCAACAAAATCATTTGGTTTTCTTTGCATACCACTACCTTTAAATGTTGCCTCATCAATATTAAACGAATCAAAATCATGGGATTTATTTGCAAACAATGTCAGCTTATAATTCTCAGCTGAGTCCTTACCATTTAAACGCTGGACGTGTACAGGTTCAAGTAGCTGTGTTTCGCCTTCAATTATTTTAGTTCCGGTCATTTCTTGTGGTTTTTCACTTTTACATTGATCAAAACTGTTTATTGAAAAATTATTAATAGATTTTATTTTTACATTTTGACTCAGAACCAAATTTTTAAATGCTAGTGCGCCATACATATCTGGTGAAATTTCAGGTTTCAATACACGTGTGGAAAGAAAATCATTGAAGTCTACATTATCTACAGTGGTATTAATAATCTGTAATGTTCCATTGACTGTCAAATTTTGTATAAACACTGGTGGCATTATCGGATGAGAAATTTCATATATTTGTGAAATTGGTTTTCCATTGACTAAACCCTCCACGTTCAAGCGCTCTATAGTAGGTGTGGTCTTGAAATATAGTGGCGCACTAATTGGTAAATCACTTGATTTGCGATATAAAGAACTATTGAAAAGTGCGATATTAACGCCATTCACATAGTTCACGTTAAGTAAAGACTTACATACTGCGTTTTTCATTTCCAACGGCTGAATAAATATTTTTGGAGCAAGCACATGCTGTGTTTTATTACTATTTTTATACAGACAGTCTTTAGTTAGAAAATCAAAGTCAATATCCTGCAATACATTTGATTTTGTATTCATTTTCTTGATATAAACATTACTCATTTTTACATTTCCAGTTATAATCTGATCAGCTGAACGCTTGACTGCATTCTTGTACAAATATAATAATTGTTCATATTGTTTCTCATGGCGAGGTGTGGTTTTGTTCCATTTGGCGCTGCCCCGTACCACTAAGTTGCGCCATGGACGCGTTGGTAATGCTTTCACACGATCTATAATGTTTGATAAATTAAATGGGTTATCAAACTCCCCGCTCATATTTCCATTTACAGTAACCATAGGCACAACAATGTCACTAAAAATAGTTATTTTTTCTTCTCGTATATCAATAAACTCATCTGTAGGTACATCATTTATTATAGGTACATCCACATTTGTGAACTGTGCGTTAGAAAAGCTGTAAGCACCAGTAATGATTTGTGGTTTAGATTTAAGCAAAATTTTACTAAAAACATCATCTAAGTCGACACCATTTATAGTTGGGGTTTGAAATGATTCCGTAACCGTCACATCACTTAAAAATCTTTTTTGTCCATATAAAACTGCGTTTTCATTAACACGTACAAGACTCTGACTATAAGATTCCCAATCGATATTGTTTATGAAAGAGACCTCAAGATTCTCAACAAACTCCACGTTTCCTTCAACTATTAAGTCTTTGTGTAACACGAGCTGATCATCTTTCACATGAAACTTATTAAATATGTCGTCAAAGGGTACATCATTTAATTTGTGAAATACAATGTTAGACACGTTTAAATCATGAGGAACGAATACCTTGTCCATATAGTAATCATAACTTAACAAATTATCTAATGGTACATTATTTAAGTAATTTGTATTAAGTTCTTTCTCAATGTAAACATCATTTAGCACAGTCACTTTTTCAAAACTTTTCACACCGCCCAAAGTAAAATTATTTTCTAGTTGGGAATCCAAAACCAATTCCTCAACCGGCAATTCATTCAGTTTCAATGTAAGCAAATGGTCCACTGTTACAGGTGCCTCAAAAATTTTGTGACCTGTTATATTTGCTGATTCTCCGTAACGTATCGATTGCTTATCAAGCTTTGAAATTCTTGAATCGCTGCTATTATAAGTTATATTTCCATTAACAATTGCTGACATAAAAACAATATGATATGGTTTTTTACTATCAGGCTGCTCGCTTCTAAGTAGATGATCATGTACTGGGTGGTTGTTTAAATACTTTGTCTCTAAATGTGGAACTGTGACTTTGGCATTACCAAATACAACTGGTGTGTCAAAAATCTATTAAAGAAGAATAAATCACATTATTTTTAGCTTATACATATACAGCAGTGCATCAAATATTATTAAAACTGTTCAAAACTTCAAACATTTTAATGATCGACTAAAGTTATGACGCATGACATGCAAATGTATAGCGCCGTTGAAAGCTATACATTTAGTAAACTTCCAAAAATGTTATTTCTTGAATATTTGGCATTGTTTTTGAGCATGGCAAGCCACTCAAAAAAGGATCGAACACCTTTATATGGTCTTACATCTATTTGTGTAAATCAAATGAACTATCCGAGTAATTTGAACATTTTCGAATATATTACATGCTCGATCTAAATATCTGAAAAACAGTATATTCGAACACCATAATGTTCGAACGCTTTGAAACTTTAATATAGAGCTGAGTTTTCACTCTTTAATGAGCCATAAATTTAGTCATAAGCAAAGAAGACAAAATCAAATTTCTTGATACCTTGATCCGGCTAAGATCGTAACATTTTTATGAACGCATTTATCGGAGAATCGCTACAAAATATCTATACCTGATCTTGGTTATGCAAAAAATATGTCTTTTCGATGATTTCTCTAGATAGAGGTTTTCCGTCCACAAATATTTTGGTAGTATTCCCAAAGTCTGTATTTAAATTATTTATGGTCAGCGAACCATTTATCGTAACTTTTTTGGTATAATATTGTTGCAATATAATTTCGTCGACCACAGGCTGCTTATTATCTGCTATATACAAGTTTCCGGTTATCTCCACTTGATTTATTCGTACAGGTGCTAAGAAAATTTAATAGTTATTAACTTTATTGAAATTGTTAACGTATCAAACTAACTTTCTATTAAAGTATCTCTGCCACGAAAAACAATATCTTCTGCAAAATCCAAGCCATTCACTTTTTCAGCTGTTAAATTTTTGACTAGAAACCTAGATATAGTAATATTAGAATTCACTACTTGGGGGTGTTTTAAATTAAATAAGTCATCCGTAACTAAACCGTTTATAGTTTCCGTCCACAAATTTACTACTTTCGTTTTTCCCTGAAAAGTTAGTTGTCCATCGATTTTAGTGTCACGATTTTTTAAGAAAAATGAATCATATAAAGTTGACCACGGTATACCATTAATAGTCTTAACATTTAATTTACGTGTTTTGAGAACAGTACTGTTACTATCTTTGCCTTGTGTTAGATCTATGTTATGCTTTTCACATTTATATATTGGCGAATTTATATTTTTTGTAGTAATATGTGGTTTAACTGACAATATTGGCACTCCTGTGCTGTTGTCCAAAGAAAAACCTTTAAAAAATTAATGTATATGAAAAAATTTAAATTAATAAACATTCAATATTTAAAATATAAAATGCCTAATTATAATGGTAAGAATGATAATTTCCTTTTTTTTTTTAACAGAATCATTAAGCGATAACAAAAATTACATTGTTTAAACCTCTACTCTCTCTTAATTCTTTCACAAAATTTGAAATTAAAAAAAAAATTGTAAATTCAAAATAATAGTGATGATATTTTTAAGGTAAAACAAAAATAATAAGTTACAAACTAAAAAAAACGTCTTACGAAGTGTTTTTTCGAAAATAAACAGGATTTTTTAAAAATATATGTTTGTAGTAAGGCCATCTGTTGACAACAAATTGGGTGACTACGTCTCAGAGGCACTCGTCTATTCAAACGAGGAAGTGTTGCTCGGTCTTACTCAACATGGTTTATAACAACAACAGATCTAATTGCTAATTTTTACCCACCTTCTAGTAAATCGCCTTCATACAATAGATTTTCTACTGTTATGTTTTTAACTTTCAGAAACTTAAAGGATACTACACTATCATTCTGCGATATATTAACAGAACGCGGTTTTCTGGACTTCACATAATCTTCAGTCATCTGTTGTGCACGTTTCAACAACTGCGATGGAGTGATAAGATTTTCATCTACTATCTTTATTACATTGATATGACCAGTATTTATTTTAACCGTATTATTAACTTTAAGCTCAGTTAAATTAAATTGTGTTACTGAAGCCACTCTTCGAAATACATTCATTGCAGCTCTTCGTCTCAACAATAAGCTTCGCAGTCTACCGATAGTGTCTTCAAAGACGTGCTGATGTTCAAGCTTTTCATCTATATCTAATAAAATATAAAAATTTAACGATATTATTTCAGAAAGTATACCTACAATATCAAAACATACCTTCAATATCTGTGGCATTAACCGATGTTTTTCCTAAAACTTGCCCGTCATTGGTTTCAGTATGTATCATGCGTATTAGAGTATGAAGTGGTCGTTTGTAGACCAGTATCAAATAGTTTTCATCATGATTATTAGTATGAGTAATTATAGTGGTAATATCGGTTTCATTGGTTATAAAAGTACTATAACAATTTAAGTAGATATTTGTATAGATTAAAATTTCATTAAGACGCGCTGCCACAAGAAAATTCAAACCACCAACTAATTTATCGAATTTCAGTTCCGCACTTACATACGATTTGAAGACGTTAAATTGTCCATCCTTCATGCGAAAAGTAGGACATTTCTTTTGCTCACGTGAGCAAGCAACGATGAAATTATTGCTACGATAGGTAGTAGCGAGGACTGAACGAGAATTTACAGTTAGGACCTGGGATTTACGTAGGTGCATGTCATTCTGCTCGATTTCGTAAATGTTAAGAATAGTCTAAAATTAACACATTAACCAAATGTTATCAACCCAAAAAATAATTAAAACTTAGTCAAAACATACCTTTGGTTGGTGTTTAAGTGTTTTGCCAGTTATAAAATATTTTGGAAACGTGCCCACTACAAAAAGCTTTTGTGCAGGTGGTAAAGGCAGCTCTTCTATTGGATCGAAATATGATTCTTGCCAAACAAAAGTACTATAGGAATGAACATTTTTTTATTTTGCATTTGTTTTTGTAAAAACTTTTTTTTTATAATTTACCGCACGATTCCATTTAATCTAGTTGTATTTGTAATTAAAATAAACATTATTGAATCCTTCTGAGGCTCAATCAGAAACGCTTTTCGATATTTTCCAAACACAGTTAATTGTTGTATTGGCTCATATTGTAATGAACTGTCAACACTACTATTGTTGTTTTTTGCATTATCACTTTCGCTTTGTATATTTGCTAATGGAATACCGTAAATCTCCACGAAATCAGCAAGAGCAACAGCTATTATCAGATATTTATGCCATGTGATAACCTTTAAAAATAAAAACTATATATTTGTGTAATATTTTTTTTAAAATTTTTTGTACAAACACACCGTTGCATCCAAGGGCTCCAATTGCTCTACACTACCTGACAAAAAAGCAACACGTGATATACGTTTTTCTTTCTGGCCAACAACTAAGTGAAACAGTTCATGTCCGTGGAGTACGTACAAGCTGTGCATGTCCTGCTCTTGCATTACAATCAAATTTCGTTCATTTTCCACAGTCATATCCATGAATGGCAGATTTATTTTAAGCGGAGGCGATCTAGTCGAATTGGAATTTTTATCACATTTGACGGCATCGGTTGCATCTTGTGGCATTTGTACAGCACTCGTCGCATTCGATATGACTGGACCTGCCGCATTGACAGATTTTGCATGCTTAACAAAAAAAAACAAAGTTTGTGCTGCATTTAATAAAAAAAAAGAAAATCATTCTTTGTAAACTTACATTCAATCGTGTGCTTAGTAAATAAATTATAAAAATATACTTTATGAGAAACATTGTACAGAACACATTAAAGAAGATTACTGCATAATTACAATAACATGTGCCAATATAATTTCATCACACTCCCTTGCACTGCTCTTAGCCTTTATTTATTTTCAAAATTGACGTTTAACGGTTTCTTGCTTAGAGATCGTAACGTCACTCGCTAGTGATGTATCGTTTTGATAAAAAAAAACCTGTATGTAAACTCTTCAACACTCTATGCAGACTGAGTAACCAATTATAGAAATATATCGATACAATTTATTCAATTTCATTCAATTTTATGAAATGTTACATTTATGTTATAAATTATATTTAATTACTTTTGTAGTCATCAAAATAAACAAATTTTTGAGCATTATAAATAACTTTATCAAAACATTTAGGAGAATATTCGATACATGAAGGTTATTAGCAAAACTAAGGAAGAACGTTTCTGTGAAAGATTTATAAATACTATTATGAAAATAAAATATTATATCTGTCCTTGCATTTCGTATATATTTTATATAATACTTAGTAACCAAAATAATATCTAAAAAAAAAATTTAAGACTCTGATCTGGTATAGCAATGGACCTTAATGGCCTACGCGTGGCTTTTTTCGTCTGCCAGCATAACCTAATACCTAATAACCACGCTTTAATAAATACCAAATTGTTGATCCAACTGTTCTGCTATTTAATGTTTCATTTCATTTAGTATATTAGCTTCATTGTAATATAAAGTATCCCCAGTCGTAGAGTTTCCACTCGTAGAATTACCCATTTTTAACACAATAAGTTACCATAAACTTTTAACAACATGGTTGTTACTTCTTCTAAAAAGAATTGCCCTTGCAATAAATAACACTTCCTGATATACAAAAAAAACTTTGCTTAAATAAAATCGTTCCGAAATACATTTATTTTTGAAATAAGTTAAATTATATGTAAGAATAGTAATGAAAAAAATAACTTAATGCGTTAACGAATAAAAATAAAGCTTAAAAAGATATGACTTCAATTATTCAATTATTCAAACAATTAAAAGTTATAATATTAATTTTTTTTCTTTTCTTGGCAATAGGTGGAAAACATCGAAATTCACAGTGTGAAACTTGATCCCACTAAAGCCATCTCTTATGAATGAATGGAGACGATTTCCACAGCATTGATATTATATTTCATTTCGCTTACGCATGCAGTCAATGCTCAACTTATTTTAAATATATATACTGAAGTAAACCAGAACCAAAATACTTACTAACAGCACTAAAAACCTAACAAAATGTAAAAATAAAATATATGCAGTTCCAACTAAAACATTCAAAAATGCAACAAATAATATGAAAAAATGCCAGCTAACTGCACTACAAAAGTGATATAAGTATTAGAAAATAATTTCACGAAATAAATCTTTAAAAAAATATCTCAAAATAAATAATAAATCCATTTAAGAAATAATATCGCCAGGTTTTACTTTCTTTTTTTTTATTATTCCGCTAAGAATACTTCTGACATTAAATTGACTCCTGTCAATGTAAACATTGATGGTCCGGTAAATGTTTCTCACTGCAAAACTGCTTTATCAAAATTAGATAATTTGGTTCCCAATACTTAATATAACAGCACTCCCTACATGGTGATTACAAATTATAAATATTATGAAATTATAAAAGTCATAAAATTATTATATACTAGAAGGCTTTGTTATATTCATACTTACTTTATACTTTATACTCATAACAAAGAATCTATAGTACAAAGAAGTGCCACGCTCATACAAACGAAATACCCACTTTATTTTGCTGGTGGATTTATAATAAATCCACCCAACCTCATGCAACAATGTTCGATCGAGTCACAACTGGTATGATGTCCAGTTCAAACCTATATGTGAGTCGAGTAAGGCTGACAAAAGCCCGACTGCATTCGTATTCAATCATACATGCAACCCTCTGTATTACATTATATGCATGTTTGTATGTTTGTTCGCTGTAAAATGTTCAAGCGATCAAACAGCATTTCAGTGACGAAGTCAAAATTGTGTACATTTGATAATTTTTTTAATTTAATAGTATAAAACAAAAACAAAATTACCTGTTTAATATTGTTATGAATTGTAGTGTAAAAACACATTACAAATTTATTTATGTCTCAAATCTGATTTTTTTCATTCTATGAAGCTTTATTCTTAAATGTTGTCCATGCGCAATGTTTCCGAAGCAATATCGTAATCACCAATTTTAACATTTCAATCCGGTGTAAATAGCATTCATGCGCTTCCTCAAACCAGGAAGCATTATTAGTGGTTTTAGTGACTTCTATACATTTTTTCAATATAATTTTTCTTACTTTTCTAATATTTTTATTTTCTTTAAAATACTTTTCAAACACTTTTATATGAATCTTAAAAATATTTTTTAAAATAATCACAAAAAGTCACCAAAAATTCAAACTATTAAGAAGTAGTTCCTTTTGAGGTAAAATATATGCACAAATGTGCAATAAAAACATACATATTAATATACTGCAGACTTAATGTCTCCAATATCACATTTGTACATACATAATGGTTTTTGTAGTGCATCATTTTTTGCAATAAAAAAAATAATATGTTCTGTTACTCTTTACTCCTATGATATGGGCCTTTCCAGTACAAAAAAATAAAGCAACAAAGTATATGAAAAAATTGTTTCAGGGATTTCTTTACCATTCATTTCGCTACTAATCAATGTATATTAATAAAATAGACAAATAAAAACAAGAAAGGCAAAAGAAACAGGCGTATAAAAACAATTGTGGGTTGCAATGAGTTTGAACTGAACATCATACCAGTTGTGACTCGATCGAACATTGTTGCATGAGGATTTATTATAAATCCACCAGCAAAATAAAGTGGGTATTTCGTTTGTATGAGCGTGGCACTTCTTTGTACTATAGATTCTTTGCTCATAACTTATATTCAACAATATGTATGTGCTTTTAGCATACAAACCCAACATTCCAAAATGACATTCAATTTTATTTAATGATACAAATCACAATTACGTTGTTGTTTATGTTTTTGCTGAATTTATTCCTCTGATAAATGTTCTACCCGTTTTCATTTTCCATTGCTTCCAAACATAAGCTTTCGATACGTTTAGAAGCATTAAATACGATCTTTACGTTGTGCCTTTGATTTTAGAGTTTGTAAATGACGACCTTCCTTTCTTAGTGTAAACATACTGTTAATATAATTGTACTTAATATTTATATTTAATAAAACATATTTATTTTTTTTCAATTGTATGTCTTTTACAAATATTGTATTGAGTGCTTAACTTGTGCGCATATTGTTAAAAAATACTATATGAATATATGAATATATGACTATATGAAAGCACCACACAGAGCAATGCTGAAAAAATACTCTATAGATACACTAAAAACGAATTTGTGCTATTTTATTGTTTGTATTTATTTTATTGTTGTGATATCACTATTTCAAAGAATTTAATTTCTGTAGATTTTAATTAGTTTTCGTTTAATTTAAGACGGTCTAAATGTGCATAACCAACACTTCGAGGTAGATCCCTTGGATTGCTTATAATTACGTCAACTTCAGATTCAAAGGATGGGAAACGTGAAAAATCATACTGCAGATGGGGATAATTTGGCAATGTTATCATAACACTGCAAATCTGTTATATTAAAGAAAATAAATAATTAAAAACGATTTATTTATTGTATATATTAATAATATTTACCTCTGGCATAGCATCCAATATATTACGCTCCGCTGTATAAGCAATAAATTGCACAGACGTTGTACTAAAGCCGTCCACTGGATGACCAGCAAAACTCTTAAGTAAAATTTCGCGTACTTTATACCAATGTTTTGTGAAATCAATATTATCAATAGTTGCATATTGCCATCTAGCATTCAGGTCTGTACAGAGTATACGCTCCGGCATATCACCCTCTGTAAACAGATCACCTTTAACATAACCCACAAATGAGGATTTAGCAGTTTTAATAACACGCAAATCACTTATACCACCAATTAGTAATGGTTTGTCCTCTTTAGGAGTAAATTGTAAATTAATTCAAAATTTTAATTGTTCAGTGAACTTAACAAAATTACCTCCCCTTTTGCGAACAACTTCACAATACCGTTTTTCATTACAATTTCTCGTAAATACGTGGTTATGTGCAGCATCTTTATAATAGCCTTCACTCTCTTTAGTGCCTAGACGATCCCACTGCAAATCTTCGACAACAACATTTGACTCGGCTATAATATTGTATGTGTCGAGAAAATGTTTAGTGAGTGATAGCGCGAATTCTTCTGGAGTCTTAAGACCATATTTGCGTGCATGCATATAAATAGTAGTTTCAGCAACATCGCTACCAATTATATCACAGTTATTCGCTACAATTAGGGAACACGTAAAACCGATTATCATTTATACACTAGGTGTAAACTAAAACTCACCTTCGTAATATTCTTTATGACTACCCAGACGCATATAAGCACTTACTTTGTATTCTAATATGGAATGTATAGGTCCATTTTTCTTAACTTGAAAAACTCTTGCATCCTCTTTACCGTAGCCATAATCGCCCATACGATAATTGGGTGCAGCAGGATCTAGAATTTTTGTAGCTTGACTGGGTTGAGCATTATATAACGGACGAGTAAACATTTTTGATTTTTTAGATGCGTTCAGTTTAACTTGTTTTTACCTAATGATAAAAGACTTCGTTAAATGATGTGTTTATTTTACTTAATAATAAATAATTGCACCGCTATTACTAAGTCAAATAAGAGGTTGTTATCTACACTTAAGACTTTGCGCACACTTAGATTTTAAATATCCAAGATTTATCACAAAGCTAACAAAAATTGTCAAAAAGGGAAACTTTATTAATGCTGTATACATATCTACAGATAAATATACGGCTTATTAGAATAAACATTCAGCTTTCAAAAAAAAATAAAACACTGATTGAAAGTTGAAGAAATAAAAATAATTAGCCTTCGAACAGTCATAGTGAGATACTAGATTTAAAAAAAAGTATCTTAAAGCATGCAATAACCTCTAAAACATATATTGTTCTATAATAAATACTTAAGAAATCTTATCAATTTAATTTAGATTAACATGACCCTGTATACTACATACTCAATCAGTCTTTACGAAAAAAAAGCGTATCTCACATCTTAGTATATATTTAGTTATCAGCTTTATCATATAAGTAGCATAGCACAGGCTTACATCAATTTAATTTTGTTTTTATAAATTTTTTTTGTATTTTTTAAAAATTTTAACAGATAAGAGTTCTAGACATTATAATAATAAATAATTAAGATATACTTTTATCTACTCGTACGAATTAAGAAAGAGTAGTGAGAAAAAAATCGTATTAAGAAGATATCATATTTGAGTATGTTTTATGAGTATATTACGAAAGATTTACAATTTACACTTTATTATCAAAAAGGACGGACAGACAGGCAAACAGTATTGGAAACAAATACATTGAAAACATATTCAATATGTTAAATATTGACAAATATTTATATTTTTATTTTTTATATATTATATAAAATCATTTCGATTGTCAACCCGGTATTACTAAATAGCGTAGTCATCGCTTCAAATCGCTTCAAATCGCTTCAAGTGAAGAACAAACTTACATCGCAAATTTACATCGAACTCTAAAGACCATCTGTCTTATATTATAATTTTACAATACTTGAGGTCAACTCTAAGAGGGACTTGAAAGGACCTGCTTACACACCAGAATAAACTATCTCAAGAAATCGAAAACACTAGCACTCTCGATAAAGTTCAAGAATATTTAAATACTATTATCGAACCAGAAGAATGGCAATATAATTTTTAAACATTATAGTCAATACAAGATCTACATGGTCAAAGAAGACTTCTCGTATGAAATCTATTTCAATATAGCGTTAAAACTTACCGCTGACACAATATTAAAAAGACGCATAACGGATGAGGATATTAGATTCATTACAGATAGTTAAACAGCAGTCAAAGTCTTTCATTTTCTACACGTTACATAACATTTTACAATACAGCACCTAAATGAGATCAGTAGACATGAGAGTTTATTCATCGCTTGACTAGCAGGACATAGTAACTACCATGTCAGGTATAAGCAGCTGAACTAGCACAATATGACGCAAACAGTACTTCTCTATGTAGCTATGTATATCTATGTATAAATCTTGATATAGATGTTGGAAGACTCAAATATGTCTCAAAGATAATAAATTGAATATAATAAGACGGATAAATCTTGAATCAGAAATATACGTAGAACCGCCACTAAATACTAAACCATTACGAATAGTGAACATTTAAGAGCCTTAGGCTAATGCAAGTGACTCATATCTAATTTATCTTTCTGCAGTACATGTGCAACGAAAATTAAACATATTAGGTGCTCAGATCTATAACATATTACTCAGCAATCAAACCTCTTCTTAAAGAACACATTGAGTTATAGTAAAGGTTATAGTAACGATTTTTATAGAATATCACAATCGGTCAAGAAATAATAAGGAGCATTAAAACTTATCCTCTTTTTAAAGAACATATTTAGTTATAGTAAAGGTTATAATAACGACACGGAGATACGGTGGAAGGATAGCATAAAATATCTGGGGGTCACTTTTGACAAACGGTTTAATTGGCTTAAACATTTGAAATACAAACAGAATAGCTGCTCTAAGATTCTACATTTATTAAAGCCGCTATTTAATAATTATCACTTCAACTTTAAAAACAGAAAGTTACTTTATACGCAAGTAATTACACCAGCACTTATAGAGTAAAAGTGCGTAATAGCACTAACTCAAGAACAAGAAGAAGAAAAAGAAAAAGTAACGATTTTTATAGAGTATCATTAAAGACCAAGAAGCTTCAAGGAGCACTAAAACTTCTCAAAAGAAAACATAAGTTACATAAAAACGCAACATCCCCGATAAGCGAAACGTGTCTTAAGAGTAGAGTTAGTTGACTACAAAGACAGATACCTCTTTATGCGCTAATAAGTGATAGGGCGCAAAAACGCCAAAAAGACTCAACTCTGTAGTGGATAACAAACGAAAAAGAAGTGCTAAATTGGAAGCAAGTGGCAACAAACAGGATGGCATAGAGGAACATCGTTAATCGTGCAAGAACTTATTTGATGCATGATGAAGCTTAAGATCACATTGAACTGTAAAACAATGGGTCAATTGGTTTATATTGAGCGTTAGGATCGCCCTCATAATCGAACATAGCTAACTACTTATATTAATTTATCTACTTGTCCATAGTTATCTTAATATAATTGTGAGAAATTTCTAAGTTACTTAATAACATGTAATATATATAGCAACCAAACTGCTATGTGAGAATGTACAGGAGAGTTCCTTTTATATAATTATAAGTACATCTTTTTACTTACTTTTTTTGTAACTTATTGTTTGTATTACAGGAAATTATTTTATTTGAATGCGTGATAGAATTACGCTTTCCACTTTTTCTTATACAAAAACGAATTGGCACCATTCCTTATTGTGTTTACATTAACCGTTTTCTTAGCAGGTATACGTTTATGTGCCACAGCAAGGTTCTTACCGCCTACCCTTGTGGTCGCTGTTCCAATCTTATTGAAGTGCCTGTTAGTTCTTAATGTTGAAAGTGACTTCTGAAGCTTGTCTTGTATATCTGAGAGATAGTTGCGCATTGACTGTATTTCAACTGCAATGACTTGTCGTTCGCGCTGCAATTTCTGATAACCCGACAAGATATCAGCCAAAATTTCACGTTGACGCATTAATTCCTTTATACGTTGATCGGAACTGGAACTTGGTTTGCGACTTGGAGTACTCTTATTCGTTTTTGGCGCTACTCTTACGCCGACGTTGTGCTTAGCTGGATTGGTAGACACTACTTTGGGAATCGGATACGTTTTTCCCATTTTCTCAAATCCATTAGATAATTGTACTCCATTGAACATGACAGTCTTTTTATTAGGATTTTCTATAATGTAAAAAAATTTTTACATATTAAAAATTTTAGTAATAATTCAAATTACATTTTGACTTACGATTTATATTGTTACGAACGGTGGTCATAATACTGTTTAATGCGTAGTCAATGTTTATTCCTTTTGCCGCTGGCGCTGTTTGTGGTTGTTGGGATTGTGCCTGCGGCTGTGCCTGCTGCGCAGATCGACCTTGTTGTGCATAACGTGGCTTAAAGTACACTTGAACTGGACTGTTCGGTGTTGGCTTAACAGACTTTGCCTTATTTTTGCTCATCTTTTTCTTCCAATTTTCACTGCTAATTTTGATTAATTGTGCCAAAAGTTACAAATTTTGAAGGAGTAAAATATATGTATGTTGTTAGTATGAGTTAATCTTTTATATGAAACACATTTATGATGATTTAGTTTATCTTTTCAAAAAATTTTAAATTCAAATGTATTTCACTTGACAAGCAGATGACTAGACGAATAGACAAGAGTTGCCAACACAGTTTAATTTTCAAGCTGCCATCACTTTTAAAATTGCTTTATAACATTTGATTGTACGAATTAGAGTATTCTCGTACTTCCGGAATTAATGCTATATATATCATTACATCGCAATAATTGTTGGCATTAAATGCCATACAATTTCTGTTACGCATATGTATTGCAATACTGCATATATTGCCATTATAATGGGTTATAATAAATAATATAATATAATGCGAATATATTATAGTGCATTATAAAGCATAATAAAAAACCGTGACTGGCTATGTGGCTATAATAAAATATCTATTGATAGAAAATAGTCATTCATTGAGTCGATTGATAGTTAAATTTTATATTATAAAACTTGATAGAGAAAAGTGTACATTATTGTGAATGATGTAAGAGTTTTAGAGCGCGGAGCTTAAATTTAATTTGTTTTGTTAATTGTATTCACTAAGAAACATTAAAATTGAATACAAATTCTTTATATAAATATATATAATATATAAAAAATGTGAACAGTAGATATTTAGTATTCTTCTTCATTGGAAGACCATTAAAATACGAACCTCAGTTTATACAAACGAAGAATTCGGGATGTTGTAAATCCACTGTTATTGTTAACCCATTAAGGGTTATGTTTTGGCAAGTAGCAAATCCTGCATATGTGAACATAATGCAAGCATATTGCATTATGTATAATAATAAATAGTTAATTTAAAATTTTTAAATAAAATGAATACAGAATTAAAAGAAATGGTCAATATGTTGGAAATTTCAAAATAAAACTGAAATTTTACTTTTTTCCCAATTTTCAAATTTATGAAATTTTTGAATTTGGTTTGAGTTTTTGTTTACATATGATTGCAATATTCGATGGAGTTTCCAATGAAGGTTCACAATAGTTCGCTTATTGCGTTGGTAACACTTTGTTTTTTTAGTGGCCAAAGTGTTTGGCCACATCACAACTAGGTGCTTAGACAGAGAAAATAGTGTTGTTGTTTACATTTAAGCAACTACAGCTGGCCTAAAGTTGTTGTTTTTGCCACACTTGCGAGCTATTGAAAGCACCTATTGTTTATTACAACAAAAGTTTTGTAGTTCTGTTTTTATTCAACACCATATAGAATAAGATCCCTTTTGCATGCAGTTATAATATTTTAGTTTATATGGCAACGTCTTTATCAAAATAAAATAAGATATATATTTTTATGTGGCTACGCTGCTCAAAATAACAACAAGCGGTGAAGTATGTGAGGAGCAAAATGGTGAAAGCGAGATCCTAGGTAAACGTGTGAGCTAGGGCGCTTGGCTAAAACGTTCTAATGTAAATAAATGCCAAATATCTTAAAAAATTTCAACTTTTTGAAAACGAATCAGATAAAAAAGTAATAAATGGCGCTTGACTGAAACGTTCCAATTTAAATAAATACCAAATGTGAAAAATTTCAACTTCTTGAAAGACGAATCAGATAATAAAATAATAAATGGCGCTTGGTTAAAACACTCTAATTTAAATAAATAAAAAATATTGTAAAAAATTTCAACTTTTTGAGAGACGAATCAGATAAAAAAATAATAAATGGGTTCTTCAAAGAAGCATAAGAAACACAAATCGGAAAAGCGGGAAAAATATGAAGGTAGATATCAAAAATTTTTTTTATTGCATATTTAATGAAATTTTTATTTTTTGAATAGAGTACAGTAATAATATGGATCCAGCGCAGTTGCAGCGTGGTCTGAAACTCATACTTAAAGTTGGTTCAAATTCAACCCCTGAATACAATGCTGACTCTCCGCTTGCATCCGCAACGGGTCTGCTAGGTAGTACGACAGATGTGATACCAGTTTCGGATAGTCCTTCCACAGCACATACGCAACAGCTACATACCGAACGACATAAAAAATCCAAAAAGAAAAAAAAAAAAAAAGATCGTGAAAAAAAACATAAGCATCACAAAGAGAAACGACATCGCCATGAAAGTAGCCATTATAGCGACAGGCATCGCGATGCTTCATCTTCAGAACGTTTAAACGAATTTGATGAGCCAATAATAGTTGAAAAATCACCGATAACTATTGAAGAACCTCGAAATATTAAAAGTGTACCACCAGAAGCATTGCCAGGTTGCGAAGTTGACTCATCACAAGATGGTTTTAGTTTTATAGATGATGAAAATTCTCGACCCCTTCCTGAAAATATACTGTTTTATGCTGGAATGACGACAGATAACTCACCTTCTTGTCGTCCCGTTTCAAAACCAATAGTACCACGTAAAGTTGATGATGCTATATTGACGTCGCCAGCATCTTCAATACAATCGTCTACACTAGGTGCTGGTAATGGTAGTCCTACAAAACCTCTACCTGAAGTAAGTGTGGTTTTGTTTAATCTAATAGTACTAAAAACTTTCATTACAGTTATTGATACCATCGCCTTCAGCGTCTACTACCGCTTCTACGCCCATAGGTGGTAGTTCGGTTTCAGGACTCACACCTAAGCCATTGGAAGCACCCAAAACTCCAAGTTCATCTAGCGAGTCTGGACGAGAGCCACGTACCTGTGTTCTTAAGCTGAAGCAGCAAAAGTCTCCATTAAATAAGTTACTTGAACATTTGTTACGGTTTTTGGAAAAACGAGATCCCCATCAATTTTTTGCTTGGCCCGTTACTGATGACATTGCACCAGGTTATTCGTCCATAATATCTAAACCTATGGATTTTTCAACAATGCGTCAAAAAATTGATGATAATGAATACGCAACACTTACAGAATTTACTGAAGACTTTAAGCTGATGTGTGAAAATGCAATTTTTTACAATCATGTTGACACAGTTTATAATAAAGCAGCCAAACGTTTGTTACAAGTAGGCATAAAACATCTAATGCCTGAAAACCTGATGAGAAGCCTTAAGCCGCTTTCAGGTTATATGCGAGAACTTACCTCAAAAGAATTAGGTTTCGAATTAATGCACAGTGACTTTGGTGGTTACGATCATCATGCACTCGACTCTGCTGATGAATGCGCATCAACAAGTGCAGACGAACCTACTGCGGCGCAATTGGAGGAAGAAGAAAAACGACGTGCTTTACGTATACTAAATGAACCGAAATCTCGCTTTGAACCATATGTAGATGATCTAACATCAGAAGAAATTTTAGCCCAAGCTCAGAGTGCTTCACGTGCTGCAAAGAAACGTTTAAGTGCTAAGGAAAAAGCACATCAAATGGGTTTCTTGCGGCAAAATAAAGATGGTACAACTTCCTTAAGTTTTTTAATTAAAAACGATAACGAGGGTCCAGAAAAAATTATAACACTTGGAGAAATTATTGGTAAATTAGAAGCAGGCTCCGGTCAATTGCATGGTTTGCGAGAAGATAATCGCAATGAAGGCAAATTGTTGAAACCGTTAAGTTATGGACCATTCGCATCTTTTGCTCCAACTTTTGATTCTAGGTTTTCCAATTTAAACAAAGATGAGTGCCAATTAGTCATGAACACTTATGGTGATGCTACTAGTACCGAATATGCTGAAAGCATTCTACAATTTACCAAAGACTCGGATTACTCTTCAATGTTGGCGAATAGTCTATTAGATGTGCTAACAAATGGTGAACACTCCAAAGCCATGGCAGATCTTTATGATTTACAAGTACAGAACTACGAAATAAATGAAGCGCTCAAATGTTTCTCTGTCTTCAATGGCAAACAGGTAGTAACTGAAACACGTGAACAAATTGAAGAGGAGTACGAAAGGTATAAAAATACGCGTATAGACTTCAATCGATTACGTACACTTAATGAACTTGGCATCGAGGTTGATTTTCTGGACACAGTTGAAGCAGAAATGAAGAATTTCGAGTTAACACGGCGTTTGCAAGAGCATTTAAGCAATAATTTAAGTTTAATTGAAAGATTGCGTGCCGCACAGAATGAACGCCTTTCACAACCATTGCCACCACATTTATCGCAAGTACAACCGGTTGGACAAGAGGAGACACATATAGCACATCAAATCACACAACAATTAACTGATGTTGTCAAAAAGTTACCGCCCTCAGCCATAGCTGATGTTTACAGTTTACGAAAGGGCATGGGTATGTCGTTCGGTAAGAAATACTTTAAATCAAACAAAGCATGTATCACTACTTTTTATTAATATTTTGCATTGTGGAATATCAGTTGTTAATATCCTTTTATAATGAAACAGTTTTTTAACTTTTTCCTTTGTTTTGTAGGGGGTCTACCACCGCCACCACAACCACCAACTCGAGTCCCCTTGCCAGAGATATTACAGCAGCCTGTTACAATGCCACAAATAAATATGACAGTTAATCAAATACATCCGCCAAGTTTAGGTATAATGGATGACACAAATGTTAATAGTTCGTCTATTTCTATGGACATTGATGAAGATGTAGTTGGTTCCAATAGTGGGGTAGACTTAGAAAATGAATTACGAGAATTTTTGGAAAGCGGCACAGTCAACAGTACAGATGACAGTAATAAAATATTTTACAAATTCCAAGTAAAATCAATATTAACTTTTTCTTTTTGCAGTTTAACATTTCAATTTGGAGACAAAACTTTAACTAATGAAAAACTAAATTATAAAACTATTCACATATTTCACATATTTGTGTTTTATGTTGTAAATATTACTTATGGCCATATGCATAGTAATATTATATTTAAATTTTGATTGCTATAACTCTTATCAATTACAAAATTTTATAATTAATGACAAGAAATCCATCTTCAAATAGAAAAGTGATAACGGTGAGGAAATTCTTAATTCCAAACATTTAATATTTAATTAAGTGAATTATGTTCTAACCGTACAGGTGTTTCGGATACAGCAAAATATCCATTATCAGTGATCACTTATTGACTTAGGTTTACGCATATAATTTGAATTCAGGAATTAAACTCATTCATATTTAAAATGGTAAGTTGCTCACGGTTTGAAATTAAATATAAAAAAATTTCATTAAAAATTAAATTTTTTGGACTTAAAAATTTACTTACAATTTCTAATAGTTTAATTTTAAAGAAACATGTTCTAAAATTATAAATTAGTCTTAATTTTGCATAATAATTTTAAATTTATTTGAAATATTTAAATATTATGTATAAACGAATTTTATTTCAAACACATCTATTATAATATGTAATTATTATTAAGCGTATTATTTTAATGTATTATTTATGATAAAACAAATATATGTATTTATTTGTGTATATATGTTAGTTTAAGCCCTTTTTTAAAAATGATAAATATATGCATCTATAAATAGATCTATCTATACGAATCAGCACAGAAATGTTCGTAAATATTCATGTATATAAGCATTTACATACTTTCAGATTTAATATGAGATATTAATGTAAAATGATTGTAATGAAATGTATGGTATAAAAAATTCACGAAATACTTATTGTAGTAAGTGGAATTGTTTAAGTCAGTTAATTACAAATGTATTTGTATAAAAAGTGTCTATATTATGTGAGATTACATATTTTTTGGATAACTAACATAAATAATTATTATGCTTTGTATGTGTAGTTTTATGACTCATTACATGTTTCCGTTTTTTAAGTAACTTCAAAAAAACAAATTAAATTTTAAATACTAAGGTTTTATTAGGAATTAATTTTAATATACACTAATACCCCAATTTGCGTTGATTCGAATTGCGTCGCAAAAAAAAAAAAAATAAGTTTTGAATTCAAATTGTGTCGCCAAAAAAAAAAAATAAGTTTTGACTTTGAATTGCGTCGGCAGTGTTTCGATTTACGTCGTTACATGCGTAGAGAGGGGATTTCTATTTTATTTCTTGTAGGTCACATTTTTTAAAAATGAAGTTTTTAGTTAAAAGGTGTCTGTTTACATTTGTGTGGTGAAGTGGAAAGATAAATTTCTGCTTTATAAAGTATTAAAATGAGTCAAAAGCGTAAACAAAGTTCTTTGGAACAAAAGTTAGACATTTTAAGACGTTTTGAACTCTTGGAGAAATAACTCTTGACATTGGGAGAATTCTGTGCTTAGCTCCACCTACTGTTAGAGCAATTTGATATTATGACGCGGACTAGGTAAAGGGCTATGAAAAAACTAAAAGTCCATTAATTATAAAAATGGAGTCCCTTCTATCCATTTAGATAGAAAATCAGGATCAAAAAAGAATGTCATTGAGCCATATGTTAATTCAAAATAAGGCTCTGTCGATATTTAATGAGATTATCTCCACCAACAAGTCAAAAATAAGAATATTTTTGGAAATTAAATATGTGGTAAAATGTCAGTCCCAATTAACGACGCGAATCAGGGTATTAGTGTATATGGAATACTTACTAGTACAGTATCTTCTTGATAAACCGGATAATTATATTACAAGAGTTGCGCGGAAGATCAAAAAATTTTTTTTTGCTGATAATGTAATAAACTTTTATTTATATAACCATCAAATTTAATTATTGTGTCAGTTATTACGAGATACCCAATATGTACGAGTCTGTATTATATTATAAAATAAATTTCACAATCAAACTTTATCTATAATTATTGCAAATGAAATTACAAGAAATGAATATACAAAAAGGGTAAATAAAATAAAAGAAATATTGAATTAATGTTTTTTTTTTGTTTCCGGTTTGTAGAGACTACAATTTGGTACAGGTTAATACGTGAAAGCTATTAAGTGCCCAGATTATAGCGAGTGTACTATATTTTGCATTTAGATATATTTGGAACATTTAAAATGAAGTGAGGGAAGCAGTATTTATCGTATTTATTTTTAAAATAATAAAGAATTTTATGTAATTTTGAATCTTTTTTGATTAGAAACTAAGTTGTCTACGGATATTACTTTAATATTTTTTATTTTGTAAAAGCTTCTTATGTAGTTATAGTTTACAATATGCGGCCAATAAGTAACTGATAGATATTTCCACTGCGAAAAAGCATTCAGAAAGTAGCTGACAATTATTCATCACTGCAAAGCGTTCAGCAAATGAATAAATTTTTATAACTTGATAGAACTCGGTAATATGACGTTTTTAAAACCGGTTTTTATCTTATGGGCGTGTCGTTGAGACTAGATTGAAATTTTTGAAACACCAAGATTATGATATGAATCTCAATTTCTAATGTAAGATTCATAAACTTATCATTAAACTTAATATTGATACTATTAAACTTTATTAAAGTACTTAGATAAATATATGTTAAAGAGTCATTCTTTTTAACAATCTCAAAATAGTTTATAACGCTTTTTCCATGATAAGATTTCGCTCCAAATATTATTTAGAATGAACTACTTTAAAGTTATATTTATAATTTTTTGCAACACTTTGCTCAATAAATCTGTTTTCTTTTAATGATTGGGGTTTGTTTAGCTTTATGGCTAAAGTGTTCTAACGTTAGTACCGTACCAACCAAAAGAATTACAAAGGTATCCATTATGAAGATAATTCCTTCATATATTCTGGAACTTTATTGATATACGATCTATTTTTAGAATGCAACATGAAAATTTTTGAAGGGACCGGTGGGAAAATATCTTTCACTGTTGTTTAAAAGCTATGCACCGCAGATCTTTTGGCAAATTCCCGTTCGCGAAGCTTTTTTAAATATATTTATTTAATTTTTTGAAAAGGAATCAATTTGGATTGTTTTTTCTAAACGAACATTTTCTAATTGACAGTATATATTCGTTATGCTCGAATTCAAATACTATAAATAATCGTACTTCATTATTTTTCATTTTATTAATTTTTGGTTTTTATTGTACAAATAGTAAATGCTCGAGCACCATATGGCATTCAAACATTTTAATTCGAAAAGCCTATTTTTCCGAAAAGTCTACCTTATTATTATTATTGGGGGATGTGGCATTGCGACCGTTGGGTCTATTGTGCCCACTTCTGGGTTTAGAGTAGGTCTCTAAGTCCTGTTGAGTCAATAAAAACTAGTATAGCATCTACTTTACAGAGTTTTATTGCCTCTTCCGTAATATCATAAAAAAGTTATGTTATTAGAACTTAAGTTTGAAACTTAATTTCTAACTCAACCTCCGAATGACGACTATTTGGGCAATTACATATTTCTTTAAATAATTCGGAATAATTTAGTTTGTATTAAAAATGAATTACTTAATTAGGAATTTGAGTAACTAATCTGTTTAAAACATTTAAAAAACAATTCTAAAAATATTCACATTTTTTGTATGTTCATGTTTATTGAAAGACTCTCCCATCACCTGGTTTTAGTTTTTAGCTACACGTGTAGAAATCTAAAAATTTCTTATTCCATAAAAAACTTAAATTTATTAACTTAGGAAAACTTTTTACCATTTACCATTTTAGTATTGAAACCATTAATAATAAAAACATTTTAAATGTATGTATAAATTTATAAGTACATAATTTTATTTAATTACAACATTTTTATATTTAAATATATACCATTCAAATAAATATTACACATCTTTGCTTTTATATATTTATAATTTTGAATACATTTTTTTTTTAATTTAAGAGTAGTTTAGTTTTCGTATAAGAAACTCACAATAGTTTTCGTATAAAGGCAGTAGTTTTTTTTGCTTAATTTCAAAAATACATTTTAATTTATGTATAAATTATTAACAAAATATATCTGTATGTACATACACAAATCGTCTATACGTATATGTCTAAGCATTTATATTAATTTTACTAAATAGTTTAGGGTTTAATTAAGTTTGTTTTTTATGTGGCAACAGAATTGTTTGTAAATAGTAAAAATGTTGAGGCATACACTGAATAGGAATAGCTAAGCACTTGCCGAAAGCGAGTCCGTATTAGTAGTAAAAAGGACATAATTATTGGTATTTGAACTTAATGCAGAAAAGATTTGCAATCCCTGTACTTGTTTCATATTGACATCTATATACTCTGGTGAGTATTCATTTATTAATTTAATATTTTATGCATTCATATCTTTTTTTCTGAGGTAGTGTTTTCATATATGATTACAATTGAATAATTTTAATAGCACTGAAAACTGGCTTTAGGTTCTACGGACTTTATTTTCAGAATTTTTATTTTACAAAAGAGAATTTTGAGAATTTTTATTATTCACATCACTACTTTTCTTGAAATTATTACGAATTCATAGTTCCATATTTCCAGATTTCAATACATTTCTTGAGACTTGGTTTTTTGTAGACATCCAATTTGCAATACATAAAGTTAAATAAATTGCGTATTCTTAATATTGTATATTAAATTTGTTTTATGCAATTGAAGAACTGCGACGATTACTTAAAAACAAAAAATACAAATATATAAAAATATGTTAAATTATGTAAAATTATATTAAAAAAATATCAATTGGAAAACAGTGTGTTTAATATATGTTATAAGCAAAGCGCATAGTTTTTTACTAAGTACATAAATTGTAGTGTAGTTAAGTAGCTTTTTTGTGCTATTAAGTACTCCATATTGTCTAATTAAAACAACCAAAAAAAAAAATACTTAAAAACGATATTGCAGAGTTAATTTACAAAAAAAAAGACTATTACAAAAAATTTTCTATTACTTTTCTTAGAAAACTTAACTTTTATAAGATTATACCCAAACATTTAGGTAAACTAAAAAAAAAATACAAAAACTACTAAGTATAAAGCAAATTTAACAAAATCATTAACTTAGACATAAATTCCGGAGGGAAAAATTATTAATTTACAAAATGCAAAATATTTAAACATTAACTTAAGTAACTAAGTAGTTGCAACGTAGTGGAGTATAGTGGATAGTAGTGGAGAGGAGTGTATCAGTTTATATATTCTATATTATAGTGTGTGTTCCGGGTTCAGTGTATTTTACTTCGTAATTTGTATTGTTCTGTTTCGCTGGTTTTAGTTTTTATATAATTATTTTGTTTTAAGCAAATCATCATTATTTTTATAATAAAAATTACACTAAGTTGGCATCCTTCGCCATGCCGTAGAATGCCGAATTTGGATTACTCAATAATGCTGTCGGCGAGTCAAACTCTGTTATTTGTCCTCTATCCAGTACAATAACTTTATCCGAATCCAAAATCGTATTCAAACGATGTGCAATTGTCAGGACGGTGCAGTCTTTGAATTCTGTTCGTATAGTTTTCTAAAATATAAAACAAAAAGTTGATGTAAGTATTTACATTAAAAAAAATAAGTTTAATAATATGATATATAACCGTGTTCGGTGTTTATACCCCTGTTTTATATATATTTCTGTTATTTGAAGAGGTATTAGATAATTATTTAAATAAACACACAAAACTGCATAGAAGCCTTTATTAAAGAAACTCTAGATCATATCTTTCGTATTTATCTGGCGCTCTCAAAAACATTTCAAAAATTCTTTGAAGTTGTCAGTTTTAGGAAACTAAAATTTGTATTTGTTATTGAAATAAATCACCTCATAGAATCTGCCAGCAAAACATATCGTAAGTTATGAGCACTGAGAGTTAATCTTAATGGGCTAAAATCTGGTATCGCTATCAAAAAAGAAAATTTTATTCCAAAACAAAAAGAAGCAGCAGTTTAAATAAAAAGCAGAATAATGAGTATTTAAAATTATTTAATGAAATGCAGCAAGTTATAAAAACAACTGATCATAGATGCCTTCAGGACTATTTTATGAAGTTAATAGTTTGCATAAACCACTGACCTAGTTCTAATCGCCACTGCCCTGGTAGTCTGTACAGTTTATAACAACTACAAACACACTATATTTCAAATGTCAACTTTATGTATACACACAATTATAACTGAATAAGCTCTCCAAAAACAAAAGCTTTATAATCAATTTGAAATTATATTAAATACTAATAATTGTGTGGTTCTGTCTTCCTATCCAGTAATTAATCTTTTTATTTATTTTTATTGTTAAATTTGCCACTTCTTAAATGAATTGATCTCAAAATTTATACCTGAATTAAGTCATCGGTTTCCAAATCGACAGCAGCAGTTGCTTCATCTAAAACTAACACTTTCGTTTTACGTAATAAGGCACGTGCTAAACAGACCAATTGACGTTGACCGACTGAGAGATTTTCACCACCTTCACTAATTTCATGATTCAAGCCGGATGGTAAGGATTTTACAAATATTTTTAAATGAGACAATTCCAATGCTTTCCATATTTCTTCATCTGATTTTATTTGGAATGGATCCAAATTCATACGAAGTGAGCCAGAGAATAAAACTGGATCTTGTGGTATTATAGTTAAACGTGAACGCAACATGTGTAAACCCAATGTGGCAATGTTGACATCATCAATAAGAATACGACCTTCGGCAGCCTCAATAATTCTGAACACATAGAAAACAAAATCTTATTTATATTATATATATAAATATATAAAAATCACAGTTTAATTATACCTAAATAATGCAAGTGTCAAACTTGATTTACCGGCACCAGTACGACCGACGATACCAACTTTCTCACCACCCATAATATGAAAACTAACACCTTTAAGTACCAAGTCAAGACCTTCCCTGTAACGCACTTTAAAGTTTTCAAATGCCACTGAACCATTTTGTGGCCAATTTTGTGGTAACTTAACATTGTCGATTTCCCAAGCTGCTTCCTGTTTGGTTTCACCATATTCCTTTATACGTTCGACAGCCACAATATTTGTTTCGATGTCGGACGTCATACGTACCAACCAGTTGAGAGTTTGCGTTACCTGTAGCGCATAACTTACTGACAGACCAACCAAACCCGGATTAGTTTGACCGCCAAGCACAGCGAATAGTGAAGCGAATAATATAATTAAATTGCCCACCATTTCCAGGCGTATAGCAAGCCAACGATTCGCTATCAACGAAGGATACTTACAGACCTGGTTTTGATCGACCTTTCCATCTGATTCATCAATGAACCTACAATAATAATTAAATATAATTTAAGTCTAGTTGAAAAATCGATTCAATATAAGGAAATTAATCAATAGACTTACCGATTTTGTACAGAATAAGCACGTATTGTTGAAACACCAGTCACAGTTTCACCGAAATGTGAATATATAGGAGATCTTGATACCGATTCAAGACGCATCAACTGTCGTGATGTGGCCACATAGAAACGTTGCGCAAAGTAATAAAGGAACGCTATGGGCACGATAACTGCCAAGAAAATAGGAGTGGATATACTGATGACCACAATCGTAGCTAAGACCTATTTGTCATATTAAATTTTTTTAAAAAAGAAAGAAGTAATAATAACATTATTAAAAAGTAAAGGAATATAGTAAAAAGACTAAAAAATCTGTACTCAAAAGGTTCAATAAGAATTTCAGTTACATTCTGTACGAGTTGTAGTTTTGAAAGTTTCTCTTTGAACCGAAGTAGTACCGATTTTTTATGAAAACTATACTTTCTATATATTTGCCATTACTTGATTTATTTAATATTATGAAATGTTTGTGATTAAACAAATGCCAATTTGTGTTCAATAATAATAATAAAAATTTAAACTTTTGATTTGTGAGGTTCAGATAAGGAACTTAGTAAAAAATGAATATGTTTGTATGAAAAATATTTGTATATATTTTTAATTAGTAATTTCTTGATGATTAAATAAAATGAGGTTATAATTTTATAAGAAAAAAACCAAAAATGTTTCCTTTCTGTTGCATAGCAATTTGATATATATTTTATTTAAAAATACAGTATATTTCTTATCCTGGATGCATAATGTCAGAATATATGGTAAATGCAAAAGGTAAAGATATTTAAATAGCACAAGAAACATTCGAATATAAATAGTTATAGGAAATAGCTTTCATATATATAGGTAACTTGAATATATAGAGATTGTTGTGGAACACAGAAGAATATATGGTAGTATAGTAAGCACATACATAATGTACCACGAAGCTTAACTAGAAGCTTAAAAATTACCAAGTCTTCCGAAGCTAATTTGATTCACCTGTAAAGTTACAATTAGTATATAGAATAATTTATAAACATAGTACTCATATCATATACATTACTCCCTTAACACTGCTCCCTAGAACTTTAAATCACAATTCTTTCTCTAATTCACAGTAATTTAGTAGGTAATTAAGAGGCTAAAGTAGTAGGGGTTCAAATCTTTCTCAATCATAATAATTTTTGATTTCACATTTCTCATAATTTAAAGGAGAATATCGAATATTTGCAGATAGTCAAATATATTGATGAATGCAAGTTGGAAATATTGTGTAGTCATATGGTTAAGCCTGGTACTGAACAAGCCCGGCAAATAATTTTTACTATAAGATTTTTGCAGTGTTTTGTCTGTAGACTATATTATCAAAAGGAGATCTACCCCCTAATAGCTCCTGAATATGCCGCTGAATTATAAATTACTTAACCTGCTAAAATGGTTCCAACCTTTATTAACATTGATACCTAAAAGGTCACTTAAGAGTTAGTGGTATTTCAAGCCTGATTATAAAATATCAACTTTTTGCATATAAAAATGAAGTTCAACCCATATTTTGTGTAAGAGGTTGTCATTCAAACTAGAGACATCTCTTGTAGATAAATGTGAACTATGAAGATGATTCTTCCGAGAGATATGACAAACTTCCATTTGAAGTTTAAGAAACTTTCAATTAAACTGACTTTGTCTTTGTTTTGACAATTCAGAGTTATTGCACCGCACCAACTTCTGTAGTTGAATATTTTATAATCACAATAGAGATGTTACAACTTTTTACAGAGTATTATTAAGTTATTTTAACTTATTTAATTCTAATAGTAAACTAATAGATGTCGGTTTTTGATAAAAAAATTAGAATTATAAAATAGAGTAAAAATGAAATATAAGAGGCTGTACAACATAGGGAAGCAAAATTTTTAAACTGTTGCTTTAAATTGCTTTCAAAATAGAACTTTGGTTATGAATAATTGTAGATAGAAGAAAAAAAACATAGAGCAGAAAGTATATTAAACATATTTTATTTTATTAGCCTTCAATAAATTAAGAGTGAAAAAAGAGAGAGGAAGAGAAATAGAAAGAGGGAGAGAGAGGGAAAGAAATAGAAGGAGAGAGAAAAAAAGATAGAGAAATAGAAAGAGACAGAGATAGAAAGAGAGCAAGATAGGGAGAAAGAAGGAGAGATAAAAATAGAGAGGGATAAAAAGAGAGTGGGATAAAAAGAGAGAGGGATAAAAAGAGAGAGAGGGAGAGAGAGAGAGAAATAGAAGAGAAGAGGGCAAACATAAGCAAACAATAATAGAGAGTTGTTTGTTTATAAACGAGTAAAGAGCTTTAAACTATATTAAAATATATTTCCCGAGAAAAGTTGTTAAAAAATGTTGACAATTATGTTGAAAATAGAAATTGAGAGGGTGACAAAAGCGGGAGTAATGTATATTTATAAATACTAAAGGAGTTTTAAGCTACAGAAGTTCAGAACATTAATAGTGTAGGCGGGAAAGTGAAATAGAGCGATTTAGTAATAGAAATATATTAATCTTAAATCTTTAATTTTAAAAGTAATTAAATATGATTTAGGTGAAAAAATTTAATTTGCTACTAAATGTTCATGCGGAACTTTTTCACATACCTTAAGAAAATATCTATATAATTTATGGATCCATATGAAAACACTTACTGTGTTCAAAAAAAATTGTTGAAAATATTTTCTAAATTTTCTGTATATATGTTATAAGAAAGCCGACTATACTTATATATTTTTCTTGTTTGTACATATGTGTTGATTCCCAAAGTACCAACACCTAAGAAAATGTTAGATACTTTTGGTAGTAATTTCTGATAAGTAGTTCCTGATTTAATTTTTTATATACCTAGTTTCTTTAGTGGCAACGCACGCAATAAGCTAATGAAAATACTAAAGAACTCTAGCGTAGGTTTTCATAAGTTCTGAAACAAAGTTCTGTAAATACTATTTTCTAAAATATGTTTAAAGCATTTATACATTTTAAGATAATGATAATATACTTTAATATTAATAGTTAATGTTTCTTATAAATGCATTAGTAAATGTTTATTCAAGTTGTCTACTAAATATTTGCACTACTATCTATAAATATCTGAATATCTATATTTGAAGGACACATACTAGTACTTGTATATATTAATTTTAAATTAGATTTGATAAGTTTTTTAGGTTTTCATATTCTCTGTTAAAGTATTCTGGAGTTTGGGGTGAGTCCGTTATTTCAGGCAGTGTAGTTTAACAACAGAAGGTAATTAACGGTAATTCTCAATATTTTGAGCCACTTTTTTTACTACGCTATATATCAATATAACTAAATTCTTAAGATTAGAGGCTTTAAAAATTCGAAAATTTGGCAAGAAAAACACGGTGGTGTGTTCACGTTATATTAGTTGTCAATTTGTGTAATCAATGCAAAAATCATGTATACTAATTGCCGCTAGATGACATATGCAGTTTTTTTTTGTGTAATCGATTTTGAAAGTTTAGATCTTTAAAGCCAGATACCTTTAGAAGCAAACTTTATTTGTATATAGTGTAGTGGAAAAAGTTTCTACAAATATTTAAACTCACCTATATCTGCTGTTAAATCGTGCCCTCGTGAACTCAAAATGTCCTCAGAAAATTTTTTATCACACTAATCTATTTTTTTTTTAATATTTTGTAATGAATTGTGTCAAAAAGGTTTTTATTTATTTTATACTTTAATATCATACTTCATTCCATGCCAATAAGTTCCTCTAGGAACGTTTCCAGAAATTTTGATTTTTAACTTCAGACAGACGACTACTAATATTACACCCATTACTTTTCACCCGTAAAAAGAAATGTATTTACAAAAAACAATAATTTAGCAGTTCACAACAATAATAAAATAGAAATAAAGATATATAAAACAAAAAGTAATAAAAAAGCAAAATTAAAATTATTATTTTTACCTCAAAGACACACCACAGACATTCGCTTATATTTTGTGGCATGGTTGAATCAACTGTTTCAATATCTTTTGAAATTCTTGACAAAATTCGACCCAGTGGCGTTGTATCAAAAAAATTCATTTCTGAGTGCATAAGTCTTGACAACAGTACATTATGGAGTACACGCGAAGCCATCAAGGCCCCCAAAGTTGGTGCCAAGTCCACAGCGAATGATAACACAGCTGAAAACGAGTTTAGGAAAATTGTTTTGGTTTTTTGCACGCTTTTTTTTAAAAGTTTTTCTTAAGGTGTCTGCTTTCCGAAACACAAAATAACAAATATGCATTTAATTCAATCAAAAGAAAAATTTCCGGTACTTTTAGCAATTATTAACCCAATCAAAGTTGTTGTGTTATATATATGTATATAGGGTAAGGAATAGGTACATGTACATTCGTGTCTATTGTAAGCGGGCATGCTTTTCCTCATTTTTTCATTTTTTTCGAACAGTTCAATATGTTAACTAATATATTCCAACTCAAATTGCTACTAGTCAAATTGTTTTGTGTTTTTTGTTTTATTTTCTATTTTTGATTAGTAAATTTTGATTAACAAAAAATTTTGTTAGCGTTTGTTATTTAAAAAATTTTGAGGTTAGGGTTAGTTATGTGATAAACAATTGTATCCCAACATAAAATTGTAAGTTTTATGACCAATGAACCTACCCTAAACAATAGCGAGGTAAATACTCTTAAGTTCTGGGGTAATAAAAGATCCAGTATGTTTATATCATTCGATAGACGGTCGAGTATTCGCGCCTTCGGTAAGATATCAAAAAACCATTGAGGAGCGCGTAGAATACGCACAAATACTGCTGCAAATATTCTGTTCGAACCTAAGAGCGCACCTAATTCAACGGCCAGAACGGTACCCACGTAACTCAAAACTAATTTCAAAATTAAAATTTATATTTCAAATTATATTTAACTCTCTTCACAAAATTTTGAATAAGACTACAAATCAATTTTACAAACACAATATACTAAATACGGATAGAAGACGAACATGAAGTAGATCAGTTAGTAGCGGATTGTGATAATAGATGAATATATATTAGAATATATCAAGTGATTGATTTAATATAATTACGTTAAAAAACAAAATAAACAATATATAAACAAATATTAGATACTAAATAGTGAACATAAAACAGAGTTAGTCAAGTAAATGTTTGCAGCACCAACTAAAGTATGCATATTTATCTATTTCAATTAAAAAAAAAATGTTTAACATTCTAATGTTAAAATAACTACTAATAATCACATTATATAGTGCAGTAGTCATCTATGCAATTAATCATAGATATCCGTGCAAAAAAACTCCTCCTCTGATAACATTTTATTAAATATAAGTTACTTACTTATAGACTTTAAAAATTTAGTAGGTAAAACCTGATTTTCTTCTCGACCCTAAAATTATGCAATTAAATCACAATACTTAAAATATTTCTCATTCTCAATATTATTATTATATATGGTATATATATATTATTATATATACCTATATTATAGATATAGATGATATAGATATAGATGAATAGTACCGGAGAATGAGAATGCTCTTTTCGAATGTATTGCCGAAAAAATCCAAAACGCCTAATAATGCAAATAAATATAGTACAAGTACATTGCAAACATTTACTTGAAGAGTGCATAAGTAGTCTCACAATTTTAACAAAAACGATTGGAAATAAAATATATTTAATAAAAAAGAAAAACAAAAAAGCCGCGCCTATTTCATTAGTTAAAGTAATTAGCATTCATTTTAAAATTACATATGCATTTTTGCTTTACTAATATTTACGTCTATCGCCTTCAGAAGTTAAGATACTTATGACATACTAGTATTTATCAGTCCAGTCAGTTCTCATCCATTTCTTTTTTTGAATATAAGTCTATAGTTAGTATCAGATAGCCAAGCTGTTTTAAAGTTCTTAAAATTAACTCAATTACAACTAGTACTATTGTTGACAGCTACGCATCTTTGAAAGAGCTACGGACGCAGTTCAATATTTTTCGATTGTAAAACGGGGTAGACAATAGGACAAGCAGTTAAATTTTTTTTGTAAAATTGAAATTATACGAATCTAAAATGTTCTTATGCTTATGTTCAATTCTTATGCTTATGTTATCCTGGGATTCACGAAGACAGTGCTATTTATAGAAAATGTAGAAGTTATGGGGTCTGTAGTAGTTATGGCGAAAACAAAAGAAAGTGTTTTACTGTCAACCAACAAAGGTTTTTGTAAGCATCTTAAAAAAATATTACTATTGATAGCTATGACTTTGAAGTCCATCTAGGAACTGTCATAAAAACAAAACTAACACTAGCTTAAAAATTCAACGACGAATTATTATTATAGATGTTATTTTAGGTTGAGTAGGCAATTTAGAAAAGGAGCACTCTTAAGATAAAAAAATTCATGCTTTTTAAGTGTCTTAATTACGAGTTTCCTGCTGTAGGCGAAGACCAATAGCAATGGAAAGATATGAAGACAATTCTTCGGAAGGTCTATAGTGTTGTACGTAGTGGCAGTACGTAGTATAAGTATATGACTTCGCTAGCTAAATTCTGTCCGCAATTACATAAAAATTGTACGACCAGAAAGTTACTTTGCTCAGTACCCTGTGACGAAACGGAGATATCCGGATTAAATAAGTTGCGTACGCTTTACTATCAAATGACGAATAGTAACTGCCGGCTTTATATTAATATTTTTAAATAATTACCCACTTTTGGCAAGAGCATGCAATATATCTAACATATATTTACAATACCTTATAATTTATAAAGACAAACTTTTGCATAACAAAACATAACAAATTCAGAGATCAAAAACCACGAAGCGGGAATATAGAGAGAATCACATATCTCTAATGTTAGAGAGCGTCAATTTTTGTCAATCGTTCATCAAAAATAAAAAGAATACTAGGAAGCTATTTTGTTAAAAAGCTCGCCCTCAATGATAGATACAATCAAAATCGACTACAAAACCACAAACTATAATATGAATGAAGCGAACCATCACTCACTAAAATGTATAATTCTGATTGACTTAAATGTTAATTAGTAACAGAGACGTTTTACACTGTAAAGAATATTTGGTTTTTTATCGTTTTTAAAAAAACATTTTGATAGCTTGTATTCATAGATAAGTTTTAGAATAGCTATATTTAACTAGAGTTAAATAAGTTTCTTCAATTTTTTAAATTTTCAACACCAAATAAATTCAAAAAAAAAAAACAATTTCAATTGACATAAACTAAAAAAATAATATTTTTCATACAGGGTGTTTCTAGTAAAACTCTCATAAACTCTTTAGCTAATTCCTTGATCCAAGAAACGAAAAAACTGTGACCCGCTATAATAAGCGAGTCTATTTTTAGTTTCAACTGAGAGTGTGTCGAAGAAAAGTGCAAGATTTTGCTCAAAATTGATCGAAAAATTTCCAAGAAAATCATCTTTAAATCATCGATTAGTTACCAAAATGTATTTGATTTCACTTTAAATTTGAATGAATTCCAAAATTTTTTGCCCATCGTATTTCGTCCCTTTACTCCCCTTGTAGGATTTTTTCGTTTCTCGGACCAAGTAGTTATCTCTAAAATTTATTTTCGTTTTTAGAAACCACCCGGTGTAATGACGTGTACCTATCAAAACACCAATTTGGCGAAATTTGTTGTGTTGATGTGCAGTATACGTATACGTAGTTACATAAATTTACCTGAAATGTAGTTGACATGAACATACGAATATTGAGTGGCATTATTAGATCTAAAACATTAATGTCATTGGATAATCTATCTAGAATTCGACCCTTCGGGGTCGTATCGTAAAATGCTGATGGACAATGCATGAGATTATTATATAAATGACGAAATAAGTTGAGCGATGCATTAAGTGTAGCCATCGAGAGAGTTAATGAAGCGCCATAGTTGCAAAGACCTGTTGAAACAATGATGACAATATTCTATGCTAATACATTTTATTTCAAATTATATATATACAAATATATATATATAAATATATATATATGAATATATTATATATATAGATATTATATATGTATATACTATACATGTATATATTGTATATGTATATAGTATATATGTAAATATATTTGAAAAATTAATTGATTAATTGCTATATATATTAAACAAGAAAAATAATAAGGAATCAATTAAATAAGAATAAAGAGGTAAATTGAAAATTGAAAATTGCAAACACCACATGAACTCAAATATGAATTTTGCTAAAAAATTTTTTCAGTGTATAAAATCTACAAATCACAATTGCAACTGTAAAAAACAAATTGTAAATAAAAATATAAATTCAAATAAAAAATACCATAAAAATAAAAGTCAAAAAACTATCCAATGTGCCTGGCAGCTCCTCATCGATGACCTCCATATCGCCACTGAAATGATTTAACAAACGTCCGATAGGTGTTATATCGAAGAACCGACACACCGAACCACGTATGATGTAGTACAACAGCTCATTATGTATACGCTTGGCCGCACGGAATGTGCCGTAATACATAAGCACAACAGCAAAATAGGCGAAAATACCTACAGAACCCCGTTCCGGTAATGTGGCATATACAGTAGTTTTGGTTGTTTGGTAGCAATTGAAAAAAGTAAAATTTTTTTTTAATTAATTACTTTTATTCTTTTGTAAATAATGCAGAGAGATGGCAAAGAGGGCGTTTAATGGGTCTAATGTTGTTTAACCAAACCTGGGTCAAGGTGACTTATGCATACCAAATGGCTTCAAAACTTCGAGGTGTCTAGAGCTGATGATGATTAAATTATGGACGCAGTAATTAGAAATTAGCGAGAAAAAAATATTGTTGTTAGAATATTAGCTGTAATAGATCAAAAGTGAACGTCATGAGTATGACACTTAACTCATTTGTGTCCCTAGATTAGCTGCTGAAAATTAACTCAGTTATGTCTGTGAGAGTTATTGTATTGTATATGTTAGAGTGTGTGGAAAGAAGTTTATATGTCAAAGAAAAATGTCAAGTATTAATTATTAAAATTTTTACTGTAATGAGACCCCAGTATCCAATTAAAAAATTAAAAAAGTATCGTGAGCGAAAATAGCTGCTTAATGCTATATATTCGTATTACTAAGCTCATATCAGTAATGTGTGAGCGAGAAAGTCGATAAGTGATTGAAAATTATGCCATATACGAAATCCATATGTGTACATACATATATTCCATATATTTGTACAGGCATTATAAAATGTCAATGTCTTAAAATTATTACTAGCTTATCGAAATACTTTTCGCCTTAAAAAAAAATATTAAAAAAAAGCAACTATTAAAAACTACAAGCTTTTTAAACAATTTTCCGCATTAAAAAAGTAAGAAAATAAAAAATAAAGCAGTTTCGAATTCGAAAAAAATATATAAACTGCGAAAATTCTTAAAATACAATTAAATTACATGCTAAATAAATAATGCCTTAAAAATATTTTCAAATGCAAGCTCATTAGAACTAAGCTTATTAAGTACTAAATACATTAATTAGTAAAAAGCTTAATTAAAGATTTAGTAACTATAGCTAAGATATTAATACATAACTACGTTATGTTGAATATGTATATAAAATAATAAAATAAATTTATAATTATACATGTTATAAATATAAATATAATATATATTTAATTAAAATACGTATACAATATTACTACTAAATTTTAGTACTTAAAACTAATTTTAATGCATTTATTTAAGGTAACTTATTATGAAGGATTACAAGAAAAAAAATTAATTAATTAATTTTTTTATTTAATAGCGAATTGCTTTAAGAAAAATGAATGGAAATGATAAATAATGTTAAAAAATACTAAAAGTAAGAATCTATGAAATAAAATTAAAAATATATTTATGAAAAAAGTAGAAAAAAATTGAAAGTTATATATACAGAAAAGATTAAAAGTTAATAGATTTTAATCAAGTAATGGCAAAGATATGTATATAAGAAAATACATATATGAAATGTATGAGAAGATGATAAAATTTGTTCCCTATCTATTATTTAAAACCCATTTTTAGAAAAACGAAATAACTTAAACCGTAGCTGCAATATATAATATATGGGGAATTAAGTAGGTTATAGAGGTACTTAAATAGAAATAGTTATCATATAGGTATTAGGAACTAGAGGTATTCATGTAACAGAGAAAAATTTTATATGCAATATATATTTTATTCTATTCTTCTATAACTCTTTGAAATCTTTTCATGTTTTTTGAGTTAAACCTTTAGGTTGGCCTAATTGTTATTGTTATATAGAATAATAGTTTACCATATATAAAAATATTTACTATATTTTGCTTAACTAGTTAAATTGGATAACTTCTTAACTAGTTAAATAACTTCTTAATTAAATGACTAAGTTTACCGAGAAGCATGTTGATAGAAATTGTTGAAAGACCATCGGTAAATGGGTGTCGCATACATCTATATCTTTGGAGAAGCGACTTAAAATGCGACCCAATGGTGTTGTGTCAAATAATTCCACAGGCCATTTCAATACACCGTTAAGCATTCTTACGAAGATTTCCATTGAACAATTTAAGCAACCGAGTGCCAAACATAATCCCGAAACGAATCGTGAGGTTACTGTTTTGAACGAATATATTTAAATGTAAAGAGAGTTTTTAAAAAACAACTACTGTAATCGTATTCTCTATAAAATCTAGAACAAAGGAACTATTAAATTTAATTATGCCAGGCATGCAAATTATTTACAGCCAAAATATAAATACACACCCATAAAAACATAAATCGGTTTAGTAAAAATCGTACAAGGTTAGGATTCACAAAATTCACTAAATTAATTCAAATATTAGAGATATAATACACGATATATTCAATTAAAAAACATTAGGGATATTATTATAATTTTTGGTATTTACAAATAATGCATTTCATGCATAACAAGATAGGATCCAATATTAATTTCATATATTATACAACCACTGTTAATGGAATTCTAGAACATTCTCGATGTCATTTTTTTAAAAGCGACAACTTTTACTAGATTTTGAGAGTGTTCTGGAGCCAATTACTACTGTTATGCATATAATACATAACATATCTTGCTACTTCAGTATAATATATATGAGAATGAATTATAAGTTGATGGAAAGCTATTAGTTCATTAAAATCGATCAATTATTATTCACTAAATAACTAAAGAAAATGGAAACAATGTGTTCTATTTCTTAAACAAAATTTTAAACCATTCTCACTGTTTTACCAATATCTGAAGTTCAAGCAAATTTTTAAACAACATTTTTTAATTAAGCGATATGTAGTATATATCTAAAAGAGGTTAATGTGGTTATCAATGGAACACCCAGTATATGGAATTATTTACAAATAATTTCAGTTATTAGCGTTTACGTTTGTGTTATATATATTAATGTTCTTCTTTGTGGATAAGATCAACTATGAAAGCAGTATCAAATGTATTAAAAACATTATACATATATATATGTGTAAATAATAATTTTTTTTTAAGCGCAGATTAACACGCAACTATTCAACAACCTTTTTTAATAAAGATCTTTAATGATAAGCATGGATTATATAGTATCACTTGCTAAAGTAAAAGCATATAGAGAGAGAATACTTTAGTCAGAAGCTTGGATTGGAAAGATTAAAAGTTTATGTGGAAAGCTGAAGTTTTAAGATTCTAATAAAAAGACTTATTAGGAACTACAGAAAATAAATATCAGATTTTATATCTTCAAGAAAATTTAGATACTATTATTGCAAATAGAAAACATTACGCTAACGGCAAATGGATAATCATTTATAAATATTATTAAATTGTTTAAACTTAACGATACTATTTTTAAATTCGTTAATGATAAACTAAATTTTCGGATGTTTACTTCTAAAATGATAGCGGACAGACGAACTAAGTAAACACCGTTTCCAAGATTTGCACACACAAAAATCATAAATAGAGATACTCTTATGGGTGCACAAATTGCATTCCACCATTGCGTTGCCTAATTAATAAATGGATATTAGTCAGGAAACAATTAGGTTTACGGTCGTTGTGCAGAAAGATAGGATCCTTAAGACCCAAAATTTAGACAGCCACATTATTCAATGGTTAGAAACCATTCATTACGATCATATTAACATGTATTTTTGAAAAAGAATCTCATTATGTACCGCTTTGCATGTTCACTTATATTAAATATAAACTAAACTGTGAAAATATAATTTTTATTATTTCTTGAATTATTTATACCTCGTAGAGGTATACCAGATAGACCTTCTTCAGTCGCTCAAAATATAGTTATTTAATTTATCATTTAAGAATGGTAACAGGTCTATTTTTTGTGATTTTGATATTTAAATCGTACTTTTTTCTAATTTTTAGAAATTTTTTTTAGATGTTATTACGGGTTTACTATAGACAGCCAAACATCTAATTCACATACCTCTTAAAAAAAAGCATTGACCATATTTTCTACTTTAGCTACTTAAATTGTATTTGTTTCTAACTGTACAAAAGTGAAAACTATTTGCACCGATTTTAGGACCGACTGGGTTCACATTCCAGAATCATCAATATACGACGTCCATATGTTGCTTACTCTTTCCGCTAGTTTCATGGATCGAAAAGTTGCTGGAACAATGCAATGCAGGTGTTATTGCATAATAAAACTAATACATATTTATTCTATTTCATTCCTAGGAAACTTTTTTCATTGATATTGAAATTTTCAGTGTTATACGCAGGTATTCATCTTTGTGTGTGCTATTAACAGAAACTTTTGTAGATTTGTTCTGTAAAAGATACAGAGAAAGCTGTAGAACATTTATTGTACTCGTATCACTGAACAGAAGTACAGCAGTGAAAATTGTAAAAGATTTTATATACCATTTTATATATATCTCGAAATAGGCGATTGAAATACATAGAACTTTCATAATAAAGGTATACAAAAAAATTGTAAACATATATTACGCCATGGTACGAATATCTTAGACAATGTATTATTTATAAAGATGATTTTTACTTTAGAGAATAAAACCTTTTTTTTCTAATGCTATCGCGCAATAAGTCTCAGACCTTTGTAACCTCAAATTAGTTTGAAACAACTATTTTAAAAATAACAAGCATAAAGTAATCTAATCTATATTATATTCATTCGAAATACCCAAACCTGAAAAGACTTGCGGCCATCCTATATCACACCTACGCTATAGCTTTATTTATTAATCCGCAACTTTTTCCAACGTGAACTATCCTCACTAAATAACTTGTTTAAAATAAAAAAGGAAAATTTGAATTTCAATCTTTAATACTTAATGATTAAATTTCTTTCCTGAAAAAGGATTGAATTTTTATCAACCCGGGAATATATAAAGCAAGAAGCACCAAAAAAAGTTCAATTTTTATCAGGTGAACATAGGGATAAACTGACATTATCATATTATATCTAAATATATTATATATATATATAGCTATATATTATTTATATATAGCTATATATTATATATATATAGCTTTTATTAAGTATTCCTATAGTCTAGATATATCTACACAATTTTTATGAAAAATGAGTATACCCCTAGGGTACGGGTACTGATAAGAAAGATGCAATGTTACAGTTATGATTTTATTAAAATTTAAATGAATATTATTACCGAGAAGGCCTGACTAATAACAACTCGCCAAAGCAGTGGAAGGACTACATCGATCGTATCTACATCTTTTGCAAAACGATTAACAATTCTACCCAAAGGTGTCGTATCAAATACTTCCATCGGCCAACGCATAACATTAGATAATAAAAATTCATGAAGCTCCTTCGCACAATAAATGCAGCCGAGTGCCAATGTTAGCGAAAAGAATAAGTGAGCAATTACTACAAAAATATGAGTATTTAAATGCGATTAATACAGCGATTAAAAATTTTCTTAAATAATATTTTAAAAATAGTTAAAAAAAGAGTTAAAAAAGTGTTAAAAAAGAGTTAAAAAATAAGATAATAAAAAGAAAAGAAAAGAATATAAGAAGTGCAAGATGTGCAAGTGACACAAGGACTGTACGGGTTAATAAAGCAAAATATGTTAGACTTAAGTGTAGTTTGTTTTCTAAGCTTAAAAAATGATTAATATTAAAGAGCATAATTAAACTTTTATCTATAAGGATATGTTTATCCTTTACTGTGGTGTTGAGTTTAAAATCGCAGCTGTTTGGTTCTGGGTTCTGGATTCTGGGTTTCTTTACTTTATGATTGATTGATTGATTAAAGCATATGAGAGTTAAGATTTCAATAGATGGTAAATAGCCTGGATTAAGAAAGGCAGACAGACCTACCATATATTAAAGTTTATTTGTACTGGATTATTACTTAATATCTAAAGTGAATGTGTTATGACAAGAACCTTAACCAATATTGAATTTAATGTGTTCGTTTTTTGTTTGAAAATTACCGCAAATGCTTGCATAAGCACAACACGCAAATTTAGTGGTATGATATTATCAATCGTATCGATATCTTTGGCAAAACGATTAACAAGTCTGCCCAAGGGTGTTGTATCGAATAGTTCCATTGGCCAGCGTAGCACATTTTTTAATAGAACAGCATGTAACTTCATGGAGCAGTAAACGCAACCAAGTGATATGGCGAGTGTAGAAAAGTAACTTGTAGCCACTTTGGGATTAACATGTGAGGAGTAATAGTAATAATGTGTGTTGAAAAAATATTTTTATGTATGTTTATAAATTTAATTCAAATTTTATTAAATGTTATCTTTTTATTTTTTAATTTAAAGCCCAATTAAGCATAAATGCATGTGCATGTATACAACAAAATATAACGAAAAAAATAAATAAATAAATAAAAATGAAAAGAGGATAGTAAGTTGACTGATTGTTGTTAAACTACACCAAGTAAAGTTCCATGCGTCACATCTCTGTATTAATAGAGATTAATTGTCATTATATGTAATTAACAAGTAATATAGCCAATATTTAAAAAGCCAATTGTATTTTAATGTTAAATCTATGAGAAACCCTATGAAACCAACAGCAATTCAATTTTTTTTTATTTTTTATAGTATTAATACTAATATTTTGAGTTATTTTTTTTATCATTATTATTATTATTATTATTATTATTATTTTTTTATTATTTAATTTTATTTTTTTTTTTTTTTTGATAAAATTTATATGAGGAAAAGCTTTTGTTTTACATATTTACATACATATATGTGAATGAAGGAATACGCAAAAAAAAGTCGAAGTGTTTTTAATGTGTACTTTTCAACCCAAATCTGTGAATAGGAAGTTCAAAATATACAACAACGGTGCAATTAATTATTTAATAAAAGAAAAACTCAATACATGTTTGAGAAAAGCTTAAAGCTAAGAAAATAACTATAAATTTCTAAACAAATAATTACATACTTAACATGAGTTATCAAAAACGGCATAAGTTTCTATTTTATTTATCTTAAAATTGTTTCAAAATTAAACTAAAACTTGTTTTTATATATTTAAATCATTTGCATTTGCATAGTATTAAATAATAAATAACTAAAAAGCTATAGTCTAAAATGAAAATTCTATAAATTAATTATTTTCATGCTGTTGGCATTAAATACTGGATAGTCTTGTTCAGAAATCATAGATTGAAAGGACTACTTATGATACTGCATTAGTAATCAATTAGTCTTAAATTTGGAAATACAATCTTAAGAAGAGTATAGGTTATATATAAGATCGATCTGATATTACTCTTATAATAAATTTTAAATTATTTTTCAAATTTCGCCAGGGATGTTACGCTCTCTCAGGTGCTCTCATTTACTCGAAAATTTGCTAGTGGAATACACTTGTGCATACACAGTATTACTTAAAGTTACTGCGAGTAACTCGTAGAACAGACCTAATAATTTCCCTTATTTTCAATTTGATACAACTGTTTCAATGAAAGTTTGCCCAGAACGATTTTACCTATTTTTTAACTATTTTTCGTTTTAGCTTTGATAATCTTTATCTTTGATAAAACTGTTATTTATATATAAAAAATCAATTTATGCCAATTACTCTTGAAATGAAAGCAGGTCCAACTAGCAATAAATGCAGAGATGCATATGAATGTTAAACCTTTAAATTCTATTTTAAATTCTAATTTTAAATAGCTTTATAGCCTATTATAGCCTGATTATTAAATCATTTTCAATTTACCAGTTATTTGCTTTATATAAAATAATCTATAAGCTTTAATAAGATAAAAAGATTTAGAACAATATTTCTCAAACAGTGAATAGTGATTCAATATTGGGCCTGTACTAAATTGTATTGAGATAAGGAATTGTCAACAGAAAACTTTCCATGTTAACTACGTAATTAGTTACAATAAAATTAGTTAATATTAATTAGTTGAAATTGATATTTATAGGATAAAGATTTTTTAAGCCAATACTATGTTCAACTTATGGAACCTTGTTATAAAGATGGACTGGAGTCAAATATCAACAAATCTTAAGTCCATAGTGTATGGAGTATATTGTATTAAAAAAAAGCAAGCAGCCTTTAATTAATATATAAAATTAATAATGTTGTCTAAAAAGACTACTGCAATAAATTTTTATATGCTTCAATAACATATGTGCGGAATGGTAGGCAGGAAGCCTACTATAGAGAACTGCATTAGAATAAGTGAACCCACATGGTTTGAATTTTATGATTACGAATATATTATTAACTTACAAATAGTGAGGAGTTAGTGAATTCAATAGTGCAATTGAAACAAAAGTCACTTGTGTTCTCTACTTTAAAAAGATTCAAGTTGATGTTTATGAGTAAAATAATTAAAATTTTACTCATACAAATAACTCAATAATTACTTATTATTAATAAAAAAAAAGAAAATATATACAAAAATACAAAAAGATACTAAATATAGAAAACAAGATATTAAACAAAGCATTAATATTGTTTCAAATTATACTTAAAATTCTAAACAAATACAAAAAAATTTGTTTTTCATTATAAATTCAAAAAAAAATATTATTAGTATTGTAAAAACAATTATTTATTGATTATTTACACCTGTTTAGACCTCATGCCGTTTTAATCACTCAAACTTGAAAATATTTCCCATAAAAACCCACAGCACAGTACAGTTCACATACAATAAAAGCAACTCACACATAATAAATTATACTCAAATTATAAATAAATAAAATAATTAATAATTTAAACGCAGAAATAATTAAATAAACTTAACAGAATGTTAACCAAATTCCAAATTAATACAAATTAAATTATAAATAAATATATTAAAGCAGTATAAATTCGAAAACGCAAACGAAAAGTGCATTGTTAAATAACAAATATGACATAAATATAACAAATAAAAAACCAACAAAAATTATAAAATAATATTATTTAATTTTAATTGAATCACAATTAACTTACCTTGTCCAAAACCAAAAGCACCATATACACCCAAGTACATATCTCGTAAGCCAGTGTCATTTTCTACACGCGTATCTGTAGACCATTTTGTCAACCACAAATTCGAACCAATTTGGAAACCTTGGAATACGAAATTTAATATAAGAGTGGCTGCTGACAAAAATATGCCAACACTCTTTATGTAATGTTTATACACAGCAAATTGCACCTAACAATGAACAAAAATTAAATCAATTGAAATCTAACAGATATATAAGATATAAACTTACACTTCCAGTTTCAGCCTTTTCAGTTTCAATAAGTTTACCCTCCTCGGCCGCCAAAGCTTTTTTCTGCGATACAGTTGACACAACAGACATTTCGGAATCTTGTCGGCCCATTTTTCGTCTTCTCAAGCTACCTTTGCCACTCTCAAGCGATTTTACAGAGCTGTGAAGTAAATTACATTTTAATTAATTACTATTTTATATTTTTCTATTTTATACTTACACTGAATCCGACAAACTTTCAGTACGTGCTAAGGAAATAACCTTTTCGAAAGTGCCAAGCAATTCTTCAGAGTTTAGATTGCCTTCTAACTGTTGTTTGATTTCGTCTAAGTCCTCAACTTCTTCACTACCATCTTGCAAATGTTGTATAAGGAAATCAGAAAATGCACCCTTCTTGTTCAACAATTCTTGATATGTGCCACTTTCACTTACTTCTCCCATTTTCATAACATAAATATTATCGGTTTGTGGCAGGAATGTTATACCGTGTGTAACCAAAACTCGTGTCTTCTTTGCTAACATACCTTTTGGACCAATAACTTCTTCGAAAATGTGCTTACCAACATGCGAATCAACAGCGCTTAATGGATCATCGAGTAAATACAAATCAGCGTCGCTATATACTGCACGTGCTAAAGATATACGTTGCTTCTGCCCACCAGAAAGATTTATACCCTTCTCACCAATTTCAGTCATATCGCCAGCAGACAGTATGCTTATATCAGCACGCAATGCACACGCATCGATGACACGATTATAACGCTTGCGATCATATGGTTTACCAAAGAGTATATTATCACGCAACGTGGCGTTTTGTATCCAAGCTTGTTGTGGTACATATGCCATCGAACCAACCGTATTTACATGACCCGATATTTTGTCCATTTCACCAAGATAGGCTTGTATAACCGATGATTTTCCAGAACCAACAGTACCCACAATAGCACATAACGTATTTTTATGAACCTCCATGTTAATGTTTTTCAGTGTAACATCACTTTCTCCCCAGGAGAAATTGCCATTCTCAATGATCATGGGATGAGCTATAAAGATAGTGAGCGGAATTATAAATGACTCTCACAGTTACTTTTAAACAATATGCTTACTTGCTTTAGGATCATGTTGCACACTGTTTGGATCAAGTTCTTCGCTATTCATAAACTTATTAATACGTTTAACGGACACTTGCGTCTAATTGTTTTAGGAATACGTTTATAAAATAAAGAATTATTAGTCTTTTATTTTTTATAGCTCTTAACATTTATTTATAAGCAACATGCAAGTGTTAGTTAAAGCAGACAATTTGGATGTAAGGATGTGGAATAGGAAATTTATATGTAAAATAGGAGCTAAAAGGCTTTATGTGGTTTAAACTTAATGAGTTCATATCAAAATAGTTTCAATTTTATAAAATGAATAAAGATCTTTGCTTGTGCTTGAGTCTCTACGTAGTAATTCCAACTTCCAATGATAGCGTTTCAGACGATTTAAATCAAGATATTCTTATGATTATGAATCTAAATGAAAAAATTATGTTTCCTTTGCAAAATGCATTATTTTTTATATTTCTTAAGAGAGAATTCTGTTTTTTTTTTCCAAACGTAAGCCTACGTCAATCTGCTGTCAATATATTCTCTATCATATACTTATACAATTTAATTAAAAACTAACTTACACTAAATCAGCTGATTTATATATACTGTAGCAAATTTTAGTAAAATTTAGTTGTACTATATAAGAAGGCTTTATTGAGGATCGTTTGTGTAAACGATAGTTATAAATTATGCATTAATTGACCTCATTGGGACAATGAGTCAATAAAAGGACTACAGCCCTATCATTCATGTTTCTAACTGGTACAATTAATTACCCGGGATGCTTGCTTAATAATGTGGTGCGAATCAATTGAACCTAATTATAAGTCATTGAATTAGTTGATTGATTGACTATCAATAATCAAAAAAAAATTTTTCGCTCAATTGAAGACTTAAATAAACAGTGAAAACTTTCCTTATGGACTTTCCTTAGTTCTGTTTAAACAAACACCTTGTTGGGATCACCAACGTTTAACTAAAATTTTTGATCATTATTTGAAACAACTACTGCTTTTGGTCAGATAACTTTCTGTAACGAGCAAACGTTAGCTGACGATGATTCTACGATCAAGAGAGTTTTCACTACATTGTATAAACTCAATATATATATATATGTTATGTCAAAGGTTAAATAATATTTAAAAAATTTAATTTAACAGGTTTTAAGGATTTTGTTTAGCAACACAAAAACAAAAACAATAAACAAATATATCAACGAAAACAAGAACAATCACATATCACATTAAAACACTTTCTACAAATTTGCTCTAAGAAAACTTACTTGAACCATGTTAGTAATTAACATGGGCAACATGGTCAATGGAAAGCGCAAAATGTTGAATAATGATAATGAAACAAATGTTTTAGTTGCATCGAGGACGTTATTTTCATCAATTAAAACGTATGTCGCAAAAGTGACCAATGACACCTAAAAATAATTAGAGTTTTAATGTTAAATAATGTTTATAGTTAAAAATATTAAAAAAGTGGTTTAAATAGTAAGGAAATATATAGAGAAAGAGTATTAACAACTAAAAAGCTGTATGCCTAATGAAATATTGCACTGTTCCGTTTTGAGTAATGCGTGTAGAATAAATCATGATTTGCACCGAAATCCTTTAAATGTATTTGCTTAGAAAAAATGTTTTCAAAGCGATAAAGTTGTACGCTCCAAATGTTTGGTGGTTATCCATTGTATTGAATGAGTTTTAGTGGTGCTTTGTGTGTTCATTTAGAAATTCCAGTTTACCTCAACGATGTCAACAGCTAACATTGGCAGTGTGGCCAATGGTAACTTAAGCGTATCGAATAGAGTAACGCCTACAAACACTTTAGTGGCAGTCAAATGATTTTCTTCACTAATCAGCACATATGTGGCAAATGTCACAAGAGATACCTTAGTTCAAAAATAGTTTACAAAAATAAATTCATTTTTAAATTATTTCTATAATTATTAAAACTCATTTACTGCTCGCCTTCTTGCTGTAAGTATAAAAAAATAGACATATATGATTACAAAAAATCATCTTACCAAAAATGGTGCACAGGACCAGAGGAACGAAGTACTGGCGTTCAAATAAGCGGTCGCTTTCAGTGTGGCAATTTCATTTTCTCTTATTTTGAGTACTTCATTTTCAAAGCTTGGCTCCCATGCATATAATTTTAAAACCTTAATACCACTTAGAACTTCATTCATCAATTTAACGCGCTCATCTTTGTACTTCATCTGCCGTATTTGATAGGTTTTAATTCTATTTGCAATAAAGCCATTAACAGGAATTAAAATTATCATAACAGCAAGACCAGCTAAAACAGAAGGTCCCAATAATTGCCAAAGGAAATACAAGGCTAGACCTATTTGTAAAGGTGCCGACCAGATCATATTTAAATATGTTGTTAGATCCATGAAACGTTGTGCATCAACAGCCATCAAATTCACAATTTCACCAACCGTAGACTCCTTACGTGTTGTGTTTGATATCACAAGAGCCTTGCGGTAAATGGCGTTAATTAAAGCTGTGCGTATACGTAAACCAACCACAAACATGCGATGGAAATATTGACCCAATATAAATGTTTGAGCAGCAGCAATTAAAAATAGCAGTACTGCATACAATATGCCCTTCCATTCTGGTTGTCGTTCAGCGTCTTCATCGCCGTAGTCCTCAACGAAACCAATAATTAAACGCAAAACTTGTGGTTGAGCAAATGTTAGAACATCTGTGAACAATTTCATCATTGCACCGAACATGAAAACTCCACCAAAAGATTTAATAATAGGCGGCATAATAGAAGCCATGCCCTTCTTTTTACCAGTTCTTTCACCATGAGGATTATCAAACGAAACAACTCCATTTTTGAATTGCGCCTTAGGTTGTGCAGGACTCACTTTATAATTTTTTCGTACGTTTTTATTCCAGTAATAAGCAAATATAGGCATGACTTCTTTACAACTATCCTGTGGACGTAAATCCCATAAATCTTTCTCCACTAAAGGATTACGATAGCCCTTCCAAGCCATTTTATCAAACCATTGATATGTAATACGTGACAAGAAGCTAGCAGAACATTCTGGCATTTCAGTCTAAAAATTATACGTTTAACCAAAATCAATATTAACTATATAAGATGTACTTACCGAAGTTCGGTTATATTTTGTTTCCCTTGGCATTGCATCAGCAAAACAATTAAGGAACAACATGGCGATTGAAAATGCAAAATATATCATAAAGCTAACATATTTATATTCGCCCCATGGATCATCTACCTCACTAGAATTTCTGTCTTTTTTCTCACGTACTTCTGTACGACATTGCGGTATCGCGAATATCACTAAGAAAAACCAAAACATAAATTGACAGCCAGATGTTTGTACACCATATTTTCGGTTGAGTGGTATAAATATAAACAACAACAACTAAAACGTCTCTATATTAGTATTATGGCTTTTTCAATAATATTTAATATTCTTACGAAAGTTGCAAATTTTATGACAGGACCCCATACATCAACAGGATTTATATCATAACCATCATCTCCTTTTTTTACAAGCGCCATTATAAAATCAACTGCTGTTAGTATCAAAAGTCCTGAATTCACTGCGAGTTTACTTAAATTTAATTTGTTCCATGGTATATTCTTATCTAAACTGGCTTTAAGGTAGTAGAAGTCGAAAATAGAAAATAGCCATAAAAATGCGCACGGTGTCCATACTAAAACAGTTTCTTCGAAACATTTTGTAAAATCTGGATTATCATTATACCAGGTCTGACTTGCATTCTATAACAAAAACAAAATTAAACATAAATATTTCGTCATATATTCTATACAAACAAAATATACACTTACCCAAAATTTTGAGCCACAAAACTCATCCATGGGATGAACCGTAGTCGGTTCCATTTTGTGCTTGGCTCTAAATTCACAAGCGTTTTAAAATTTTTGTTTATTCTATTGACTGCCAAATGAAATTATTCATCCGTACTATGAGTTACACTAGAAATATAAAAGAAATAACTTATTAATACGTTCGTACACACTTCACTAATAACATTATATGTACCACAAAAATTTTAATTATTGCAATATTGTACTGAAGTCAAAGAAGTTTATATAAAAAGGTATAATCCGTAGAAATATAAACTCATTTTAAATGCAGCATATTTAATTTTACTGCTCGAACTAAATTCAATAACCGAAATAACCTAAATGTAATAAACATCAGCGGTGAACAGCTGTTGAATATTTAGAAATGTCACCAGTGTTGTTCAGAGCAAATACTGGTGTCAACTTTTATATAAATGCGCTAAAGTGCCGCGTTCTATTCATAGCGAATAGGCGGCGCTTGTATATGTGCTTAAAAAATGTTTTTGAAAAATATATTGCCAACAACAAAAATAAAACTGCAAAATGCATTGAAAGGTGAAAATGTAATTTGCAATATCAAATCTAATTGACTAGTAATACCTCCCAAGATAATACATGGAAACTGAAAGTTAATTGCCTTACAATAAAATATATAATATAATTGTTTATACAATTAAACAAAAAATTGTGATGTGAAATAATATATTAAGTCAATATGTTTTTCGCATTCGCCGTCGAAATTCCTAAAATTTCGAAACTTCCGTTTTGAAGAAAAGTGTTCACACTATAAAAAACGCAGAAATAAACAATAGCAACAAATTGAACCGACATATTGTTTTTTCTCTCACTCTCAATTTTAAAATTTCCATTGAAGACAATAACAATTTTACTCATGCCGTGCCTGTGACACTTTTCATCACATTAAAACCACAATATTTTATATTTATAGTATACCAAATAAGTAAATTGAAATTGATAAATTAATGAAACTGAACTTAACATTATAACCGTGGTTTTACTTTTGTTGAAAACAACTATGAATGTATGCATTTGTTTTTGCTCAGTTTTTGTTCAGTGATTGGTATTGGCCTGCGATCGCATCTGGTCTGGACAGCGCTACTCTACATAACATGGCCTTAAGTATAACAAATTAAAAACTACTGGTATTAGATAAACTAAAATTAAACATAGTAACCAAGTGCTATTTAAAATTATTTCTGTAGGAAATTCAAATTATTTTTTTAAATATCCAAACCGAATAAATTCCATTCCATTCATTTTCATCTCTGAATTTAGCACTTTTAGCATATTGAAAAAAAATTTATGTATAATTGAATTATTTTATGCGTAATCTTAATTTATTTCTTATTTCATTCATTTTAACTAAAAGTTTTTAATAATAAATTTTATTATTATATTTTGTTTTTATGACATTAACAATACAGTATGTTCAATTAAAATTTTTCGCTTATAATCTTTACATAACTTTTAAGCAACACTGCCTTTACCATAATCGGCTTACAACACTGTTTCATATGTCAAGTGCGGGACGTCGTTTATTTTGGAGCGATTGTTGTTGATTTCTCGATTTTCTATTTTGTTAATAAGATTGCAGTAAAATGATGAATAACGCGAATTTTTTGGACGGTGACGGATCTGTTCCTGACGAAGTTTTACAATTATTGGATGTAAGTTTATTCGCGAATTTATTGCTAACATATAATTAATTGATTTATATATCAGACAAAAGACATTAGAAACAAATTGAATACGCTCATGGGTATAAATGCGGACAACAAAAACGTTCCAGTACCTCGACGTGATGGCATTATTGTAACTCCAACACCTGGTAAGTTTTTATTTTTTTAATTTTTTTTTCGCTATTGACAATAAAGGCGACTAAGCAGATAAGAAACATGTTAAATTATTTAGCAGAAAAAAAGTGTACGAAGCAACGATAACAATATTTTTTAAAACCTGCTATAATGTTAAATTTAACAGACATTTTATTAATTTCATAATATTGTTCAATTAATTTTTAATCGCTTTTATTCTATGCTATTAGGTGCTTATAACATCTTTCTATTGCAATACAAAGCATTTTTGAAATTTAAAGTAATAAGGTCTGTAGGAAAGTTTAAGAACTGCCGGTGGAAAAGACATATGATGGGTCATGTGCCGCATTCCTAGTAATTAGTGACATTTAAGCACGTGGTATATAATTGCAAAAGTTTGAAAAGTGAATACATTTCATGTAATATACATGTGTATATATCAAATTATATATATAATAATTGCAGAGGAATACTATTATCCTGTTCCAATATATACATATGTAAGTACAGTAAATATATGTTTATGTGTCTGTCCGTCCGTCTATTCATAAATATATACATATATTTAAATAATTCTTTATGTCTCTAGTGATTCTCCTTTCCATGGTTACTAAATAGTTGCTATAGCAATTAATAAACCCCTTGTCAAATTTTAATGTCAAACCATTTCTAAAAAAGGAAAATCACAAGAAAACTATGTTTTCAAATATAGTTTTAAAGTTAATAATAAATAATCCACTTAAGAAATGATGAATTATAAATATTCACCATATTCACGGAAATATATGATTTCCGGCGCATCTCTCGTGCACAGACAACCAAGTTCCATTGTTTTCAATTCGGAGATAACTATAAGGCCTCTCGTCGTATTGGATACAATAAAAACAACATACCATACGAAGTGTACACTATCATTGTAATCTATCATTCATTCATTAAGAGCTAAATAAAATATAATAGTAAAAGACAATATTTAATCGATAATTTGTTCTTTTCTTTTATATTCTTGTTATTTACAATTCACATCGATGTAATCGATGTTATTAGCTAGCACTTTGACTTGTGCTTATTTTAACCTATGCGTTGGAAGTAAGAGAAGCACTAACCGCTTGTGTGAGGGCAGTGAAACAATTTACTTCGCAATTGATGTGAAATCAATGTATGACTTACTAAAAACATAATTGAAAAATCAAAATTTGTCTTTGCAAATATGATTTTATTGGATTAACCTATAATGATTAATAATTAAATGCGTAGATTTACATATGGGTATCATAGAAGACAATACCACCCCAATCTGCAATACCAAAAGATGTCGTTGATCATGTAATAAGACAATGTTTTAAACACGAGTCCTAATAAGAACAACTTTTTCAGTTAAAATTATAAAGTTAATTTAATTATTATATATATTTATTTTATATTACGTAAATTTAATTGTCGTGCAACTAAAAGTAAGGTATGATGCTAGACGTCTGTGACAACCTGTTCCAAGAGACAACGTTTATTAGGGCTATAAAATGTTTTATAGTACTTTAAGTCTCTTTTAGGAACAATATTTGAAGCTCAAGTACAATATATATATGCAATATTTTAATAAGATCAATTTCATCCACCTGAAAACTCAAAAGATAAGGAGTTACTGAAACAAATGGAACGCGCTAAAATATTGCAAAATTTTGCAAAATCAATGTTGTTTAGTTCTCGAATCCACTCAAATAGAAAACCAAATTAAAGACCTAGTTAGGTGTGGGTAATGTGTGAGCAGAAAACTACCAGTTACTATATATACTATATGCACTACGTAAGACGTTGTTACGATATTATAGTATTTGTATGAATAAGGAATTTGTATTAGAAATGAAATATAATTTTTTGCCTTTTAGATTGATGAAAATCAACATCTGATTAAAATCGATTCAACAAGAACTGTATTTGGGTATAAACGGAAGCTTTAAAATTTTATTATTCAATTTATTTTTTGTCTTGATTGTCAATTGTCATTTATAATTTTTACTAAAGCTCATTAAGCTTCAAATTACGTTATTAGAGTTATCTCCCGTTTTTACAAATTATTAAAAAAAAACAGCTTTTGTATAACTTCGGGCACTTTTTAATGACATATAAGCAATGCAATTATAAAAATCTGTTAAAATTATATTTTTATTTAACTTTTAATTAAGACACGACAAATTTTATATCTTTAGATTTGTTGTTAATAGAAAAATTGAAAATATGACATAAGCTAGACTTACATTTTGTACAAATATGGCGAATCCTATAAAAAAATCACTTTTTAACATATATTACCATAAATTAGTTACTTGAAAAGAAATTTTTGGCAGATACAAAAATTCAGCAAAAAAAAGAAAAATTATTGAACAGGTTTGTAGCTCAAACATCGTGTTCATTCAAAACAAAAATTGAAGAAGCTATTTCCAAGAAGACCTTCACCTTCTGGTCTCTAGGCAGGTCTAAGCAGAGAAGAACTTGTTCTATGTTTAATTAGAATATTGGAAAAAAAGCGGCGACTTAAACTAAACTTGTTCGCTGTTATGTAAGATACCATATTGTGGCAATATTTCATTATTTTTTTTTTTTTGTCTTAATTTTATAGATACTTTACAAAGTTTGAAACTTTAAACTGCTTCATTGGTCGAACAAACAAACATATGTTCATTTATCTGTATCTCCCCACATTTATTGACAATGAAATTATTGAGAAAAATATTTAATAGATTTCCACAAAAATTCATTTTTATTTTTTTATATTGTTTTTTATTTTACTTTTTTTTTGTTTTTTTGTTTTTTTTTTATTGCTGTTCCAACAGCCTGAAGTTTAGACGAAGGTTTAGGCCCTTCTCCGTTGGTACATGACACAAAACAAAATGTTTTTTGTTTGTATTTAAAATTATTTTAGCGTTAAGATAATTGACCACAATGTTTCCGGGTAATAACTTTTTTTGGGTATTAAGAAAAAAAACAAAAAAAAAACCTGTCAGATTGCATATAAAAATAGCAACAAAATTTTGAAGTTTCAAATAATTAATTTAAGACACAGGGAAAGTTTTTTTAACACATGCGATGAATGTAGTTTGAGTTTAAAGAAAATAGAATATAGCTGAAATAATATTGGAATCAGAGTTATAAGTAATAGAGTTTATAAAATGTAAAATAAAGGTGACATAGCGGCCCCTATGTACATGCCTGTATAAAATTGTGTGACCTATGGACGCGCAAGTAATGTAGAGTTTCTAATATCATAGTTGTAGATACTTGACCTAACATAATGAGTTAATTTACTTTGGCTCGGCTAACATTTTAATACCCTTTTCATTTGTTACCCACTTGCTATAAACAAAATCAAGTTACACAATTAACTTGCATGCGCACCCGGTATCTATTGCAAGTAATTTATAACTAATTAAATTAAATTAATTCTTATATAGTAAAAGCTTTATTAAAGTCATCTTCCCAATTTTCCAGTTTATATGTCTACACTTTTAATTTATTATACGACCTACATTATTTTATTTTATTTGGACAGTTTTCTTAATACGTCAGTATCTAGTAAGCTCGTATAAGAGTTTTAACTGTATATTCAAGCCTGGTTCTTTACATGAAATCTAATGTATAATAATGTATAATCTAATATATATATATATATACATATATATATAAATAAATGTATATAAAGAGAAGTCCAAGATTAAATTCTTGATTGTCATTGTGTATATAGTCTCACTATAATATCAGTCAGGCTCGATTGGACCGTTATGATTCTAGTAGAGTCTCCAATTAGAACAATTTGTCGCTAAATCATTTTATCGGTTGTTACATTTTATAGTAATCTTAATAGAGAAGTGCTACCGATTTTTGAGATTTCTTTCAGTTTAAAATAACCTAATGTCATTATCTTTTATCATACACTATGTTCTATTTTATTGCCGGAGCTTCAGTACTAAATATTGAATTTAATTTACATTTCTAAAATATGTTCATTTAATAGGTTAATTTTCGATAATCGAAAATCACTTTTAACAATTGTAACTTTATTTCTTTGCATTGAAAGGATAATCCATGATGTATGTTTTCCCATTTTCGGCAGAAGACATTCGATTATAAAAAAGTTCCTTGATAAGTCTTACATGTTATAAACAAAAGTTTATTTTGCAAATTAAATAATATTGTGATACGCGCTATCAGTTTCATTTAATTTCATTAACTCAGCTAACAGGCGCCAAAGCGGAGAGAGAAACAAGTGGGTAGAGTAGATAGATCAATTGACATGGGGTACTTGTGTCGTGTTGTTAGTGGTATATAAATTTATATGTGATATCCTATATTTTCTATATTTGATAAATGTGAGTAAATACATTAACTGGCATGGGGTTTATATGGTATCCTGTGCTTTCTATATTTGATAACTGTATAGACCACTTTTATACTATGTGTTTGAGGGGTAAAAAAATTATGTTGTTTATAGTTTGTATGTATTATGATCTTCTTTTAATTTTAACTATTAACTCTTTTAATAACAACCATTAAGATAAATCAATAATTAATTTTTTTTTATTTTTTTAATAAAAAATTATTATTTTTTCTACTACCATTAACAACGATTTCAGAAATGCTTTCACAAAATACATACATGCTCAATTCGAGTCTTAGTCCTTGATATTTATTTATTTATTTTTGCTTCCAGTTAAACTTTCTATACTTCAGCACATCATAAGCTAACTCTATCAAAAATATTTCCAAGATGAATTGTTGCTATTATAACAAAGATCGGAAGATAATAAAAAAGCAATTTTAATTTAACGTAGATATTCTAAAAATAAAAATATTTTTATAAAATTTTGCATATTTTAAAAGTAATAATTTGCATTTTATTCGTACTAAACAAACGATTTGCGTAAAATACGTATTTCTCTCGTATGTTTATATGGACGTATGTCTACGTTATCTTCATATAAAATTAATTTTATTTGTAAACTTGCAGTGAAGAGTAGTA